ACCGAGTCGCATAGATTCTGTCAAGATGGCGCTTCGTCAGTTCAAAGCGCCAGTAGCGTATGAAGCGCAGCAGGGTGCGTTCAACTCCTGTCAACCCTCTTCGCACTACCATTGCAACCGACCGCTAACATGCGATAGCTGCACTGGAATCCTTCCTCCAAGAGTTCAAGGCTTCGCCTGAGCAGACGATCTCGCATGCGCTTGGAAACATCACGATAGACGAGGATGACTTCAGTGATGACGATCTGATGGAGGATGACGAGACCCGCGAAACCCGTCGCCAAGCCAAGAGCCCGCCGGGGCTAAAGTACAAGTTCATGCTGCAGCAGCTGGCTGACCGCAAGATCGACGAGGTTATGATTGATTTGGACGACTTGGCCAGTGTGAGTTGATATACTACACCTCCCCGTCCGCTGATCGAGGCTGACACGCTCTTCTACAGTTTGAAGCATCACTTGGCGATGAATTACAGCTGGTCCAGTCCATCGAGACGAATACAAAGCACTACGTCGAAATAATGTCCAGGGCAGTTGACAAACTTCTGCCCAAGCCCAGCGTTGATACGAAGTATGGCTCGGTGGAGCGCCCCTTTCGTCAAATACTTTCTAACATCTGTATAGCTTCAAGGATGATGTGCTGGACGTTCTCATGGAACGAAGGACTAGAAGGAACGAGGCTTTGCAAAGAGCCGCCACCGAGCCGGTTGACGGCCAGCTTCCCGACCCAACGGCAGCCGAGGACAAGTTCCCCGCGGAGCTCACTCGCAGATATACCCTTGCCTTCAAGCCGCGATCTGAGACTCCCACTCATCCTGTCAAGGCCCTTGCCGTGCGAGAGGTTAAGGGTGAGAACCTCGGCCACCTGATCACCATCCGCGCTATTGCCACGCGCGTCTCAGATGTCAAGCCCATTGTCCAAGTCAGCGCCTACACCTGCGACCGATGCGGTTGCGAAATCTTTCAGCCAGTCAACGACAAGTCATATGGCCCCTTGACCATGTGCCCTTCCGAGGATTGCAAGAAGAACCAGGCCAAGGGCCAACTCCACCCTTCCTCCAGAGCCTCCAAGTTCCTACCCTTCCAGGAAGTTAAGGTCCAGGAACTTGCGGAGCAAGTCCCCATTGGTCAAATCCCTCGCACTCTCACCATCTTGTGCTACGGTACCTCTGTCCGCAAGGTCAACCCTGGCGACGTCGTCGACGTTTCCGGAATTTTCCTCCCTACACCCTACACTGGCTTCAAGGCGATGAAGGCCGGCCTTCTTACCGACACGTACCTAGAGGCACATTACATCGTTCAGCACAAGAAGGCTTACTCCGAGATGATCATCGACCCTGCCCTGGTGCGCCGTATCGACCAATACAGACAGTCTGGTCAGGTGTATGAGCTCCTCGCGAAGTCAATCGCCCCTGAAATTTTCGGTCACCTTGATGTGAAGAAGGCCTTACTCCTTCTGCTCATCGGTGGTGTGACAAAGGAGGTCAAAGACGGCATGAAGATTCGTGGTGACATCAACATCTGCCTCATGGGTGACCCCGGTGTAGCCAAGTCGCAGCTCCTCAAGTACATCTCCAAGGTTGCTCCCCGCGGCGTATACACTTCTGGTCGTGGTTCCAGTGGTGTTGGTCTCACCGCCGCTGTCATGCGCGACCCTGTCACCGATGAGATGGTCCTCGAGGGCGGTGCTCTCGTCCTCGCTGACAACGGTATCTGCTGTATCGATGAGTTCGATAAGATGGATGACAATGACCGTACTGCCATTCATGAGGTCATGGAGCAACAGACCATCTCTATCTCCAAAGCCGGCATCTCCACGACCCTCAACGCACGCACCTCCATCCTTGCCGCTGCTAACCCCATCTACGGCCGCTATAACCCTCGTATCTCCCCCGTCGAGAATATCAACCTCCCCGCTGCCCTCCTCTCCCGTTTCGATATCCTGTTCCTACTCCTCGACACTCCGTCCCGCGAATCCGACGCCCAGCTCGCGAAGCACGTCGCCTATGTTCACATGCACCAACGCCACCCGGATATCGGCACCGACTCGGTCGTCTTCTCCCCCCACGAGGTCCGCTCCTACGTCGCCCAGGCCCGCACCTACCGCCCTGTCGTACCCGCTGCTGTCTCTGAGTACATCTCCAAGACATACGTTCGTATGCGCGGTCAACAGAAACGGGCTGAGAAGAAGGGCGAGCAGTTCACTCACACTACGCCGCGTACTCTTCTCGGCGTTGTCCGTCTCGCTCAGGCTCTAGCCCGCCTGCGCTTCAGCAACAACGTCACCCACGACGATGTCGACGAGGCCCTCCGCCTCGTCGAGGCCTCCAAGGAGAGCCTTGCAGCTGAGCAGAGTGCCAACGGTCGCCAGCGCCTCAACGCCAGCAGTAGGATCTACAACCTCGTCAAGACTCTCGCTGACAGTGGCGCCTGCCGTGCCGACGATGCCGACGACGATGATGAGGAGCTCGGCGTCGAGCTCAGTCTGCGTAAGGTCAAGGAGCGTGTTATTGCCAAGGGCTTCACTGAAGATCAGTGGCTTTCTGCCCTGGAAGAGTACAACGAGCTTGATGTAAGTTTTCCCATCCTCACTCGGTACCCACGGACAAGTCTAACCTACATTCGAACAGGTCTGGCAAACAGCTGGAAACGGCACAAGGCTTGTCTTCATCACTTCTCATGGCGCAGAGAGGGATGAGTAGTCCATTGCCATGGTTACAAAGGGTGTTGTCGGGGAGCTTGCGTAGTGTCCTTGCAAAGAATATTGTTTTCTTACTTGGTTTGCATCTGCAAAATGAAGTTTTGGGCATTATGGCGTTTGGTTCAATAATGGGATGAAGAACAGCAGAGACGTGGGACGCGGAGAAGTCGACGACTTGGTGCGGTCATATGAAAGAAAAAATAATGAAACCCAGTCAGAACCAACGTATGAGCCCCTGATCATCTTTCCGTGAATCACGAACCGGTCAGTCATTACAATAGCTTGGAACTCCCCACGACTTAAGGTAGATGATTGTATAGTACAAAATTTGACCCCTTCTACAGCGGCATCTTGATACACTGGTACATGTATGCATATACACACGTCTGCTCCCATTTTTGACGCAACTTCTTAATTCTGTCTCCCCTAGTGCTGCAATACGCGCGCGTTGAGCAAGCTTGCCCGCTCCAGCTCGCCAAGAACACCACCGCCGGCGACGGTCCACTTCTCCGCGACGGTGGCCTCATCGATGCGCGCGCGCATCAAGCCGCTCGCGGCCCAGTATTCCATGATGGAGCGAGCCTCTTCGCGGCTGATGCCACTGACGTGGAAGGTCTCGACGCCACGGAGGGCCTCGTAGACACGATCGTCGTAGCCCTTGCCGTAGGGGTCCTGGGTAGGGACGTGCAGGCCGGTAGCGGCGGCAGCGGACTGGGCGAGGGCCAGGTCCATGGACGGGGAGCGGGGCGCGTTGCTGCGGCTCGTGGCAGCAATGACGGCACCACCGTTGGCGAGCGGGGTTTTGCCGGAGAGGGCGTCGACGAAGATGCGGATGAGGGTAAGGTCGTGCGAGTGCACGAGGTTGAAGGATGGGTCGCGGTAGGCCGAGATCTTCATAATATGAGAGAGGCCGTCGAGGCCGAGGAAGACGGGTGGCCCGCTCGGAGCCGTAGTGAGCTCGTACCAGAGAGCCTGAAAGGCGGACCAGGCGAACTCGGGCTCCTTGGCAGCCGTGGCGATGTCGAGCAGGGTACCGTCCTTGGGAACATGGAGCAGCTCAGGGTACTCCTTAGAGATCTTGTGCTGCTTCAAGACGGGGCCGTTGACCTTGACGATCTGCTGGAGGAGGTTGAAACAGTAGGTCGGCTGGTAGAACTGGAGTGGCTTGGTGTTGGGTACAGGGCTGTAGTCCGTGTTGGCATTGGTGAGATCTTGGGCTATGGAGCGTAAGTGTCATTAACCTCGGGGAGTCCAATTGGACCGAAGGCTTTGGGGTAAGGCTTACCTTCGGGGATGCTAATGACAACCCAGTTGTTCAGCAGCGAGTGAGCCATGGCCTGCAGCAGCAACATGCTCTTCCCGACAATCTTGCCGCCCGTCAATACCATCCTCAGCGTCTGTCTCTCCTTGGCGGCGCTATCCAGCCTGTTCGCGAGCTTCACCGTCTCCTCTCGAACAAGCATATGCGGCCTCCGGAATAGGCCCCAGTTCTGGGTCGTCTTGAACGCCTCCAGCGTCCGGAGCTGGTCGATCAACTGGTCTGGCAGACCAACCACGGAGCCTCTGTTCTCGGCCGCGACCAGCGTCTCCCTCTCGACATCCTGGAGACCCTCGACGGCCAGAGCGTTGTTGTTGCTCAGTGTGATGCGCTTACGGAAGGCCTTTCGCTCGCCGGGGGCCGGCTTCTTGACCCTGACGTTGTCCCGCTTCTTGCGCGCGTTTTGGTTGATCTTGCCGCGACGAATGTGTTTTCCGATGTAGGTCACGCGGCGAACGGCGGCCGAGTCGGCAGACGAGGTTGAGAAGGCAGCGGCACCAGAGGATGGAACGTACGAGGTGATGATGGGCACGATGCGCTGGGAGAGGATCCCGGGCGCTGAGACTGCGGCCGTCGTGGGCCTGGTGAGGCACCGCGCACAATTGGCGGCAGAAACCATCATGTGCGATTACGGAAAGGGGGAGAAGAGCGGGTCCGGATTGGCGTTGTTGATCGGGTTCGAGGTAATCTCGTTGTTATGAGGCCATTCGCATTGGAGGGGCGTTGCGCGTTTCGTCTGAGGCAGCTCGTCGAGTCGCCCTTGGGTAGCTGGGTCGTGCAATGTTCTGTCCCAAGAGCTCACCACCAAAAAGTTCGTTGCTAGTAAATTCTCGGGACGTTAAAGCCACACCCCTTGGCACGACACTCGAACCAATTGGAACGCTGATTGGCTGCGCCGGCAGTCGGTTCTGCGGTGGCAGTTGATCCGAGTCCTTATCGCTATCAGGGGCATCCGGAGTCCAAAATTTCCAAGCAAAGAAAAAGTTCTGGATATCCCACCCAGGCCCAGAGAGTCCCAAACTTCCTGCTCCTGCGATAGATCAAGAACACCACCACATCTCCTCTCCTGACACCGTCCGAATCACTACCAATACCGGGCGATATCGCGAAAGTCTCAGGTCCGCGACGCAAATTATCCACAATGGCGCTTCCCATCTCGCGCCCCAAGCTGCCCGTCGCAGTCAACAAGCCGACGCCGTACACTTTCGACCTCGGCCTGCTCATGGCCAACGATCCCAATCCTGTCGAGCTCGACAAGTCGGCGATCGAGGAGTCTCTCGCCGCTACGGCCCGTGACGGCGCTCAGGCTCTCATTAATCAGCTCCTTACGACCTGCCCGCTCCAGAGCACCACTGAGGGCGTCTTGCTTTCGCTACCGCCCCCCTCGACAGAGCTCCCCCGCGAGAAACCCGTGCCGAAGCCCAAGGAGCCCACAAAATGGGAGCGCTTCGCCGCCAAGCGCGGCATCAAGCCGAAGACCCGCGAGCAACGGCGCAACCTCGTTTACGACGAGGACACGAAGGAGTGGCGTGCCAAGTGGGGTTACAAGGGCATGAACAAGAAGGGCGAGGATGACTGGCTTGTCGAGGTCGACCCAAAGGAGGAGATGAATCGCAAGGAGGGAACTACCGTTCAGGGCGACAAGCGCCGGGAAAGAAAAGAGAGGATCAAGCGCAACGAGAGGAAAATGAGGAAGAACCAGCGCGAGGCGGGGAAGCGGTAAAAGGGAAAGCTCAAAGGTTTTGTTATGCTTCGGGGTTCGGCATATGGTCACGGCGTTTACACGGTGGTTCGTCATTTCCAGTCCCTACGGCTTGGGTGTAGATAGGGTTATCAAAAAGTATGAATTCATCTCGCGGGCCAAAGTTCCTGGCTGCGATAACAACCCCACGTTGGATCGGGCAACAGCCTCTTTACTGTGAAGTTTGTCTCTTGTCCATCTCCCAAGGGGGAAGCTTGACGTGGTTGTTGCCGCGCGCTCACCCCTTCTTCGCTCTACATACAACATCTCCCTGTATTGCACAGAGGTCCCTCCAACCCCTGCGGTCATGTTGTTTGTGACCTGTGACCCTATCCCTTCACGCCTTTACCAGCATTTCATGAATGCTCCTGGCTCGCCCTATACTGCCATGCTACTAAAGACCAAACATCGCTAGATTCGCAGCACTTCACAAAGGAGATAGAAATATTAGGTACCCAAACCTAGAGGCCACCACGAGCGATAATCGCCGCGCAGTAGCTCTGGTAGCCAGGAATTTGCTCGTTGGTGTCAAGTCGACCAAGGCAATTTCCTGAAAACAGTAAAATCGACGGCTTTTGTGATATGATTCGATGCCCTGGGGGTATACCAAATAGCATAATGCGGTATTGCAAACGAAGCGAAACCTAGTCTGTGACTCCAAGGTCTGCCTGTGTGATAGACCTACGGTAGTCCAATCCGTGTTTTCACGGCAACCAGTCCGGGAAACGGTCGGGATAGAACGAGAGTCGTCAATGGCGTAATGTCGTCGATGATGATGTGCTGATGATGCTGCAGTTTTCCATATACACGAGTTCCGCCTGGGTATTCGATGGAAGCAAGAAACTGTGGAGAGCACTCGAAGCTAAGGTCTAGAAACCAAGTGGTGAAAGGGGCTTGATGGGTGATAGGGGGCGCAAGTCGTTTCCGCCTCTGGGTACGTCTCGTCCGCTATCTATTGTGAGTGCCGTGGATATTGTCGAGCTGGATGCGACGCTACCGTTGGACTCGGAAAGTTGCAGGGGCTTTTTTTTTTTTTGCCGTCGGTCTTTGGCTTGCTGTTCGGTACTGGCACTCGACTGCTTGCTGCTTTCGGAAGAGGACCCCGCCCGCTCGTCTGCCAACATAGTAGCTATGCTTTCCTGCCCCGGCTCCTCCGTTGTCTCGCGGGAGATCTTGCGTGGTTCCGAGAGGCCTCTCGGGGGTGGTTGATCGAACAGCTGGTACTCCTGCTCGATGAACTTTGCCTCGTTCTTGCAGCCCTTCCAGCAGTCGCGCCAGTCGCAAACCAAGAACCGGAAGCAGAATGCGTCGATCTTCATGCATGGCTGAAAGCAGATGCATAAATTCCGGAAGTCCATCTTGTTCTTATCAGAGTGCGCCAGGAGCAGGCTTAGATGACAGGTGATGGCAAAGAGGAGATAATAGTTGAATGGCGACAGGTTCGACAGCTCCTCGACCAGAAGCGGAGGCACCGTTTCATAGCCGGCGCATTCCCTTGCGACGCGCTCCTGGGCTGCCTTAGGAAAGAGCTCGTCGGGCAGTTCTCGTAGCCATGCCTTCAGCATAGAGCCGATAATGTTGATGTCGTATAGGTCAGGCTGTTCAAACAGATTGACGTCGTACTCTATCAGGGCCATTAGTAGAAAATTCTGCAGGTGTTCGAGTACCTTTACGAACCTTCGTCGAACCGTCTCTGCCACTTTTTGATTTGAGGCCCGCTTCCCGGCACACGATATAGTCCTTCCACATCGCAACCTTTGTAATTCAGATAATCGATCGCGCGCCATGGAAATGCAGGCATCCAAAACTCGGTTTTGTCTCTCGAATCCTCCAAGCGCTTGGAAATCCGTGTGCGACGCGTCTGCTCAACGAGGGGCAAGTTGATCGTCTTCAGTACATAATGCTCGTCGTCGATGACTGGCTCTCTTTCCGTCGTGCTTCCACTGCGAGCATTCTTGCCAAACAAACGATTGCTGATCATGTCTCTTCCACTCTTCAGGCCTCCGAAGAAACCGCCATTTTGCGAGGAAGAATTTGATCGCGGATGATAGTGATCCTTTTCCTTTTGGTTTTCCTTGTTGGCCATGTCTCGAGGCGACGCGTGGTCTTCCGAGCGGTTCCGCCCGGTAGAGTTAACCATCTCTTTGAGGGACCTGTCGGATGCAGCGGGCGGTGTATTGATTGAGTAGTTGCGGCCTGTCAAGTGATGCGACGGCTCGGGTTCGTTGATCGACACGGCCACGGGACTCGGTTGTTTATCCCTGGAGCTTGAGCCGTCCTTGTCGCGAAGCGACCTGTTCCGACCCAAGATACCGAATGGTTTCGACTTGCTCTTTTTCGTAGAAGAGGGTTGGGTGGTGGGAGAAGGGTCGTAGTCAGCGACGGAGGCCAAAGACACGTCGGACCTGGACGGCACGGTAGGTGCGGGCTTTTGGACGGCGTGCTCAGTGTAGGATGGTTCTGCTGGTGGAATGGCATACGGGTCAACAACTGAAGAAGTGGTCGCACGATAGGCGAAACGGGAGATGGATCAGGCAGTGGGCCCCCCAATCTGCAAAGGCAGTGGACACTACGGTCTCAAGAAGGAAAGTTATGCTCGTACCTGTAGGTTGGGTGGGCTGGTCGCTGCTCATAGGAGCATTATCGGGGCCCCTCGACATACTTTGGTCCCCCGAGTCAGTATTAAGGATGGGTGCCTGCTGCTGATTCTGGCGCGGAGCGTGTGAGGGCGAGTGCACAGGAGAGGAGGCAATGGAATGGGACGACTTGGAGGCTTTTGAGAAATTGAAGAGGAATCCGCCGCTTTTGGAAGCCTTGCGGGGGGGTTCGTCGGGGCGGTGCGTACGGGGGCTGATGGGGTACTGTTGATGATGCTGGCGAGGAGGCGTGTCTTCGGAAGCGCGGTGGAGAGCGGAGGAGATGGGTTGATACTGCTGGAAGTCGTCGTCGTCTTCAAAGTTGCGATGTTCGTCGGTCAGCTGGAGAGATTGCTTGCCACTGGCGCTGGGCCTTTTTGGAGTAAACCTAAAGGGAGAGCGTGGAGATCTGGGAGAAGATTGCGATTTGGAGCCGGCGCTTGGAGGAACGACAGAGGAGGCGAGAGTTTCAGCAGAGCGCGGAACGACGTCTTCAGGCTGGTCAGCGGCAGGATGGGATCCCGACAGCGTCAGCGGCTGTGGTGCAGGCTTGCGACCCATGGCAAGGAAATTAATGTGCCTCCTCCGGGCAGCTGAGGAGAAACTGCAGTTATTTGGGGGGAGGGGGCCCGGTCAAGGATGAATACCCGAGCAGAGCCAGAGAAAACAGTGTACCAGAGGGCGGCGACACAAACAAGGCGCAGTTAGGGTAGACTGCGATGGGGAGGAGCAGACACAGGCGCTCTGCAACAAGGCCAGGCCAACCCGGCTTGTGTATCCGTACTGTACGAGTATGAATTCGACAGGGTAAGGTGGACGAGATGAGCCTCGGCGGGGGGAGGAAGGACGGTACTCTCTCTACCCAGGTAGGTGTATGGTAGTGATGATGCCCGGCTGGCTGGCTAGCTATGCGGTCGGCCGTATGCAGTGGCTTGTGCAGCAGAGAAAAGCAGCGCAAACAACAGAGGCACAGGGAGTGGCAGTGGCAGTGGCAGGATTTGGATGAGGATGAGATTGGTGGAGATGGGATGAGCAAAGAGTCCCAGAAACGGTCCTTGTCCTGATTCGTCGTCTGCCGCAGGAGGGCCAACTGTTTTGATGCGCGCACTGGGATGGACGGATCCAGCATCTGTCGGGGATATAGGACAAGAGCGGAGGAGGGGAAGGGAGGGGGTAGAGCCAGAGGATGAGGGCAGGTTAGGGAAATCTGCGACAGCTGGCAAAGAGGCGCAGGATGCCGCCCAACCTGTTCCAAGGTGTGTGGGCTATGGCTATGGGTGTGTGCGAAAGTGCGAGCGAGGGATGGGATGATAGCCTGAGTGTGTGTGGAAAGGGAAAAAAATGAAAGAGAGGAGGGGGAGTAACTCGCAAGGCGGCAGACTAGTGGTTAAGATGAAGATGATGATAGGGCAGGGAAGCAATGCGGATGGATGGAGAGAAAGAAAGAGTGTTTGTATGTGAAGGTGATGGTGAAGGTAAGGGATGAGCGAGAGGAAGCACAATGTAGGCCGATGCAACTGTGTGCTATTGGGCTCTGGACGTATACACACACGTAGGACTATCGAAGAGACGCAGTTGCCAGCCTGACCGGTTCCAGACGGTTCCCTATTGTATTCTGTGTAGGAACAACAACAAAACAACAACAAGAGGTTGCATACGGCCTAGGTAATATGAGGGATGTATTGAATTGTTTCAACAATATGGGGAAACAGGGCCGAGAAAGGGGGGCAATCGACGGGAAAGGAGAAAAAAGATACCCAAGAATGCTTAGGTATCGGCGCCGAGGGAGGAGGGAGGGAACCAGTGCAACTGTACCTGGAAGCAATAGCCAAGAAAGTGATCTGTAAGGTACATATACAAAGGGGAAAGCGCTTGCGTCCTTGAACAGCGTTGTGTGTCTGAATTGGGTGTGTGGTGTGGATGGAGTCCGCCGGAGCAGGATGAAGACAATGCTATTGGAGTAGGTAGGTAGGATGGTACCTTAGCACACCCACACACACTAATATACACACAGTTGGAGGAGGGAGAGCAAGGAGAGATGCACTATGTATGATGCAGAACTGCCACTAGCAACACAGTTGTGAACTTGGGGTAACTACAAGCCTATGCCTGTCACGCTTGCCCAGTGTGGATCTGGCCCTGAAAGGGGCCTGGCAAGGACGATGGGCATCAACAACAGGAGGAGAGGGCAGGGGGGGGGGGCAGAGGCAAGTAATACCATGCTAGTGTAAATTCAGGCAGGCGCCGGGTGGGAGACTTTTGAAGAGACCTACGGATACATAGGTACCTGATCGGTACATATCAGCCTACCTATCTCTATGGACATTAGGAATGTGAGGCAGGTACCTGCATAGTCGCTGGATCGATCTATGGGGGGGGGGGGGGGGGGGGCGCATCCAGGCTTAACCCCCTTGGGCTGTAATGAATAGGTTGTTGGCTGCTGCTGTCTTTCTCAAATCAACTACGGATACTAAGGTACGGATAGGTAGGCAATACACTGTCGTGCTGCAGGGCACCTGCCGCTAGGTAGGTATGCTACCACCTTATGTCGCATGCTATAGGTACCAACAAGACTGCCGTCTCCCTCCTCTCCAGTCATTCTATTAGGGGTTCTTTTTTTTTTTTCTCCCACCCGGCATTGATGCTCAATCTTGGTGTAATTACAATTGATACATGCCCTTTCTGCCTTCCCTGGCTCGCCAAAGCCGTCGGCCGTCAGTCGGGCTTCGCCGCGGTTCTTCATCGATGGAGACGGCTGCATTCTTGGATACGCCTCCTTGCTTAATCCGCCGTGCCTCGTTCCGCGGCCGGCGCACCCAAGAAGCTCCCGCTGCTTGCAGCCTGACTAGCTGTTCAGATCCACCTGGCTAACCTCGACTACATAGTGACAGGGCCAACGGCTCGCCTGTCTGTCCATCAGTCAGTCGCTCGCGCACAGATCAGGAACCGCCTATCCGTACACGGCTTCTAGTGTCGTCAATTGGTTGACGCCGGCGCTGCTAAAGGAGCTATTGGGAAGCCATGTCTGCCTACCTACGGATGCAGTATCCTTCCTGATACAACAATTTCAGGCCGGTCCCAAAGCCCGAAAGAGGGTGTTTCCAACCGCGTAGGGATCCTAACTCGGCAGTTCTAAAGAAATGACGACCAAGCCATTGATCAGTCATGATGGCCCCCTCGGACTCAGCGTCTGTGCTGGACTGCATAGATATTATCTGCGCCCAGTGACACCGAAAGAAACGTCAACACTCTCCCTCACTTTGACCATACACTCGTATTCGCAAGTGCCTTGGACCACCTGAGCAAAGTCGCCTTTGGTGGGATGGATGGAACTCCAAACGATCATAAATAAAATGCACTTCAACAATGCATAGGCCAACGCTTCTGTTGCAGTTCTGCTTCCAGGACTGCCCAAAGACCAGACTCCTGAAACACAAACGTTTCTGCCGTCAGCCACGCACTGGGCTCATCGGGGACGCGAGCATCGCCAGGGGTGGCGCTCTCTGGTTGCAGTTGCCGACGGGACCTTGGAACGGCCCAACATCTCGTCATCCCCTCCCCTCCCGGTACCTTGACTCCTTTGGTTCGTTAACCATGGCCCGGCCGAGTATGGACACGCGCTATTGATACCATCGTTACAGCCGCCATTGCTTGCTTCTCAATATCTAGATTGTATCCATCGGTGGACCCTATTTATGGCTTGGACATGCAGCTCTGCGCAGTAACAACGGCGCCTCCGTACCCGACCGCCGCGCAACACGGACATAGAAAGGCCGTGTGTCCCCGTGGTGTAACGGAGTGAATGAGTAAGTAGATGGTGGAGCGATCTAGAGGGAACGAAGCGTGGTCGGAACGCTGGCAAGACGAGACAAGGGGGCAGACAAGAAACGGAGGAACAGACAGATCTGGCATGATGTGACAGGTCGCAACACTCCCTACACACCAATCATGGTCATGCCTTTGCATGGTACGACTGCACGGGCACACCAAGTCGACCGGCACACAACATCCGCCGCCTCAGTCTCCGGTTCGAATCGTTGCGCTGTGCATTTTCAACATATTGCTGCTACAGATTGCAGGCCAAAGCCTTGTCTAAGATAATCGCGTCATCAAGCTACACTAGAAACTTAGGCCACAGGATCGCTTCTTCGGCAGAGTTTATTATGTGAACGAGACGACGGGTCATGGCGCAAGAGTGTAACTCTGCTTAACTATCATGTACCCGGCGCATTTACTATACTGGCTATTTTCCTGGCATTTAACCCGAAGGCGGCAGTTCGGAGGGGTCAATAGAGACATATCAAGGACGCGATGCCGTCCAAATTCCTCATCTCTTGACAGTATGCTTTTCTCCGCAACGCGGCTCGTCTCTTGTGCATCTTCGACCCGCACTGCTGGGCTGGTGCCCATGACTAAGGGATGGCCAGGACCGAAAGTTTCGGAAAGTATTAATTGCTGTACATAGACACTGCATGCGTTCGCTATACCCTGTGGACGGCAACGTTTCCTCGATGGCCGTCAACTTTGCGACAAGACACGAAAGTCTCGCGACAAAGGGGGGCAGTAAAGTACATTGCGAGTTTCTACAGATCACGCACAGAGGTCGCACCAATCGCCCGCGCAAAGTCCTCACCGCCGCCGTACCCAAAACTTCCACTGCATCGCCACCCCGTTTGTCGGCAATTGTCAGATGCGACTGGCTGAAAGGTATTTCAGGAGGATTCGCTCAATAGGAGCGCAAGAAGCGGATGGTCTCGCAAGAACAATCGATGACTATTTGCGTATCGTTTTCATCGGAATCCAGTTCGGCCTGTCCATAGTGCTAACTCCAAAGCTGCGGTTGCAACGCCAGATCACATAGCGGTTGTACAGGTCAGCTAACCAGGCTCTGAGGCAAGACATCCAATTCGGTGGGCTATAACCATCACCCGGGGAGCCTGCAGAGTAAAAATGACCGGTTAACTAGCAGAGTGCCCTCGACAACATTCCGGCTAGCTGAGTACACTCCGCTTAGTTGAGTGCTTCACTCACGATCTCGTCCATGCCCAAGGGACGGGTCAAGATTTTGACAGGGCCAGGCTAGACATGCGTCCTAGCTAGTGCGAAAAAGGATTGGTTCAGGCACACGACTGATGACTCTGAAACTCGGTAGTGTTTCCTCGACAAACGCTGGCCAAGCCCCGCGGTGGTGGACAGGATGCGCTAGATCGTAGGACATGGGACACACACACACACACTGTCATCCACGTCCCGAACGGTGCCGGGACGGGAGAGACCCGGGAAAACTGGTATGCGCACATGGGCAGCGTGGCAGTGGCTCTGCCTTTCCCCTTTCCAGATCTGGATCTCGTGGCCAGTCCCAAGTGGCATGTAAAAGTTTCTTCATGCTGTACAGAGGAGGCATCCGTCCTTATATCCTGTGTGCGCAGATTCGAGCCCACGTGTCGTTTTTTCCCCCCGGTCGTGACGAGGCCTTTATGGCCCATGCCATTTCAAAAGCAGTGCTCGATGAAGTCATGATTTACTCAGGGGTACAGGTCTATTCTGGGGGTCGAGCCTGCCACGGCCGTCCGTGGACGGCCGTGGCCCTCTCAGTTTTCCGGCAACTTAATCACACTTGACGTTTTTTTCCCCGATCCCCGGACACTGATGATCTGGGGAGCCGGGGTTACTTAAATAATCTTTAGCATCATAGTCTAAGAATAAAGATACAGAGCCCTTGCCGTCGATCTTGAAACCTAATAGGCTTCCTCGCTTCCTCGCTTCCTCGCTCTCCGGCGTAAACATCTGTGGAGTACGGCGAATCGGCCATAGACGTCTCTCCGAAACAGATTCCCCATTCCACGAGTGCAACCCTTGGTGACGGACGAAAGAAACAAGCCCAGAGACATGGTATTGTCCGGACAAGGGCGTCGGCCGGTGACTATATTCCCGATGCAAGATGTGAGACCGTGGCAGGATATCACTCACCACAATGCGTTCGTGATCCAGTTGTTCATTTCAAGCATGACGCCTCGTATTGGCGCATTTCTGCGCGGCAGCATGGCTGAGCCGAGGACTTATTCCATGGTACACATTCCTCCGTAGTCTCCAAAAACATACTGCTCTGCGGCCATATGATACCTAGCACGCGCCTTGAGAAAAAGCCTGTATTGAAGGAACGAACGAATTAGAGGAGTTGTTTGCAGACTTGCTCACCACTAGAAAAATCCAAGAGCTTACTGCAACGAGGGATGCCATCGGGTGCTGTAAGGGAGGTGAAAGAGGTTGGACGATAACTTCCTATCAACAGCCGGATATTACAAGGTTCTGCGATGGACTTGCCAAAGGCGCTCGGGCAATTAATTGGCTTGGAAGCTGCCCACTGCGGCGCAAGTATCCTGGCCCGGTAGTCGGCGGAACCTTCCGTTCCGGGCCCATCGGATATCTTACCTAAGCGATCAACCTCAACTATTCGATAACTGCCTCACGTGGAGAACCTTCAATTTCGGGCTTTTCGATCGACTCAGTATCTTCTGTCCAGTCTTGGAAATTAGGACAACCGGGTACGGAGACCATGTCAGCCCGATTCGAGAACCTACCAGATGAGCTCAAGCTGGCAACAGCGGCTCACGTGAAATACGTTCAGAGTCTGGACACGCGCAGGGATGAGTACGACTACTGGCTGACAGAGCATCTGCGCCTGAACGGCCTTTACTGGGGCTTGGTTGCGCTCCATCTACTCGGACACCCTGAAGCGCTTCCCCGCGCCGAGACCATCGACTTCGTTCTCTCGTGCCAACATGAGAGCGGAGGGTTCGGGGCCGCGCCCGGTCACGACGCTCATATGCTGTATACAGTTAGTGCTGTACAGATCCTGGTCATGATCGACGCCCTGGATGAGCTGGAATCGCGCGGCAAGGGGAAGGCGCAAGTAGGCAAGTGTAAGTATCGACCATACCACTGAGGCTTGAATGGCACGGGAAAGCACTGACACGCCGGTGGCAGTCATCGCGGGTCTTCAGAACCGCGAAAGCGGCACGTTTGCAGGAGACGAATGGGGTGAGGAGGATACCCGCTTTCTCTATGGTGCACTGAATGCCCTGTCTCTCCTGGGCTTGCTATCGCTCGTCGACGTTGATAGGGCCGTACGGCACATCGTTGCATGCACCAACTTTGACGGCGGCTACGGCGTAGGCCCCGGCGATGAGTCGCACTCCGGACAGATCTTCACTTGCGTTGCGGCGCTCGCCATCGCGGGGCGGTTAGACCTGGTCGAGACGGACAAGCTTGGTCAATGGCTCAGCGAGCGGCAGGTCGCAGGCGGTGGGCTGAACGGACGGCCCGAAAAGGACGAGGACGTGTGCTACAGCTGGTGGGTATTGAGCAGTCTGGAGATCATCGGACGCACGCACTGGATCGACAGACAGAAGCTCATTACCTTCATTCTCAAATGCCAGGACCAGGAGCTAGGGGGCATCTCGGATCGGCCCGGCAACACGGTCGATGTGTGGCACACGTGCTTCGGCATGACGGGGCTGAGCCTGCTGGGGTATCCGGGGACGGTAGCGGTTGATCCAGTGTACTGCATGCCTAAGCCAACGATCGACAGGGTGCTGGGGAGGAAGCCGTAGTGAGTTCGTGATGGAATAGGCCACTTGGGATACCGACGAGACGCACTGCACAATAACGATGCCAGGAGACATCACGATACACATACCTCTTGCAATCTAATAACCTGCTATTCCGAATCTTGACGGTAGCAAGGATACAAGGCGAGAGAAGAGAAAAAGTGTTGGCTTCTTTCATAGGCTCCGCGGTCACCTTTTGCGATTTGCCATGAGTTAGCCTTCGAACACTTCCAAAGCTATGAGTGTAGTGTCTGGCCCAGATTACAGACTGGGTCGAACGCTCTTAATGGTGCACGAATTACCTTGACTCCATCAACTTCCGTTGCCCCTGGTGCTTAACATATATCCTTATCCCACTGCAAATCTGTTTGAGAAGCAAACCAAACCCTTCGTTGAGTGTGGTACAGATTGAGCCGGACTGTTGAATGCTTCGGTAATCCCCTGCATATGCTTCTTGTTGTGATGATATGCTCAGAGTAGCAGGAAGATGACCACATCCCAGGAGGATACTGCCAGTGATTTACAGCATCTTCTCCATCTTCTGTGTGGGGGCGGGAGCAGGCAGTAACGACTAAGGCCATGTCATTCGATCGCTGCGAGGGTGTATCATTTGAAACCTCAATAACACATTGAGCAACCAACGCGTTTCCTTCTTCTCGTCCTTCATCTTACTCTTATTGCTTCACATTAGTTTTCTTCATTCAAAGAACACAGTACACTGATCAAAGATAACAACTACTAAGAGTCTTGAGATCTTGAGTACACCACTGCACCACCATACCACGCCACCACCATGGGGCAATGTTGCCGCCCGTTCTTGTACCAATCCGACAATTTCTGGTACAATGTCACGTGCTTGGCACTCTGTGTAAGTATCTTATTGTTGTCTTGTCGCGATCTTGCAATGCCCTTCACTAAAACGTCTGCACGTTCGCCAAGCGACCAACTGACCTTGACGTGCTCCTTTCTTTTCCATCCAGCCACCGCAAGAAACAACCCCCTTTTCTCTTCCTCTCACTCACTCTATCCCCACGACTCTGTCAGCCTTCTTCTATGCACTTGGTAGGGGTCTTGAGCTTATCTAGCCTCTACTTCAAAAACGCGCAACAATTGCTGTATTGCAAACAGTTGTCAACACTTGCGTCTCTTGGATCACTTTCTGTTCTATTTCTCAGGATTCAACGTTATTCAGGTTAGCAAAGTTCTCCAAAGTTCACATCTACGGTTTCTCTTTTCTTTTTTTAACGCGTAAACACTCTTACACTTCTCAGTAGTGAGATCAATTGCACATCGCCACAATCTAGGTACCTTGGCTCACAATACCTTCGTCCAGGCCATCCTTGAACCAGGTATGTGTTGAGTTAATTCCATGTACTTCAAATTCTTGCCAACGTCAATGCCCGTTCCTGCGTTCTTTCCCTTTCCCCTTTTTCTCTTCTTCGTTGTCAGAACTCACACCACCTTCCACCCTATCACCTTGTGCGTATTGATTTTTGGTCTCTTGTAAGCTTCGAAATCCTACCCGCAGCATCGCTTTCAGGACCTGTGTGTCTTATGTTGGTCGCTTTCAATGGCTATGTTCCTTGGTTTAGCGAACAATGGCTTGATAGGCTTCAGTGAGGCTATCACGGGTCATCCAAGTTTTCCTAATTCTTATCCTACCACAAGCATCTTTCGTTGCATCCCTCTTCTCATCGCAACATTTGTTTATCGTTGAGCTATCTGCTCTCTGTCATCGCATTCATCTTGCGTACACTTTCCTATTATGGCTTTCATTGCAATATAATCCTAGTTGCACTTTCATTGTGTATTCTGGATAGCAAGAGAGCCAATTGAGGTCAGACCGTGCAAGGCAACTCACCTCCTGATACACATCAAAAGTGACGAGGGCCATCTTCTCAAAGCACCTAGATTTACCCTCTGAGCGCTCAAAACCTTTGCTACCTAAAAGCAGCATGAGCTACTTGGACACCGACCTTTGACCCCTATCATTTTACATTGAGTAGTCGAGGAATGCCGACAGCTACTGGAGCACTCGCCGGGCATGGTCTTTGGCTGATCCAGAGCTTCCACCCTGAGCCTTCTGCTTTTCTAGATTTCCTTTTCTTTTCCATTTCTCTCCCGCAAAAAGATCTTAGGATCTTACCCACCACTACAGAAACAGATTATTATTATTATTTGTTTCCCTTGCTTATTCTTCATTACAGAAACCATCTAATTGCTTGGATTGGCGACAAGGTTTGCGGGCCAAAAGAATACAGTCAAGCAATTCTGGGGGCTCTCGCACAGAAGTCTTGCGAACTCAATCAGTTCATTCGGTCAGTTTCCAATCCTTCAGTTCGCTCGTGGAGAGCCGGACCTTGCTGACGAAACAATCATCTATTAGATCTCCCGAATCCAACCTATCACTTCCTTGTCGGCACCTTCCGTACCCAACATCCGACCTCAGAAGTTATTCTCGGCTTTTCAAGACTTTGGTAAGTTGACCGTTCTATGTTTCGGCGGATTCGGATCACTTTCAGTACATCACATGTTCAGTGGGAGAGGAATACCTTAGCCGCTGTCAATTACCGCTGTTCTCCCTGATTTTGAGAGGCCTCAGGTTTGGGGCTTGACTACCTTACCTGCTCTAGCGTGTCAGTGTATAACGGCAACAACCCCGTCCTGTCAGGTGACTGACAAAAGTCACACTCTACTCTTCTCTTCCACCCATCGGAAAGGGCGATCGTTGCGACTCCCTTCAAATTCAAGTTCAACTGCTGACAGAGCGACTACAGACAAGAACGGCCAGCGTGCAAGTGGCCCATCGACACCTATTCCTTCCCGCACCTGGAACTCGACCATCATCGTTCCTTCCGTCTCTCTCTCTCTTTTATTTCTTTTTTATTTTTTGTTTTTGGAGGAACAGGACCTGCTGCTACTATGGATAGCATCATCTCCTGCCATTTCAGAAGATGGCGCCCAGACGTCAAGCAGCCCTTGCTGCCGCCGCCGTGAGTACCTCCCCTTTCCTGGGTCAGCTCTGCCACTCCCTAGGCCGGAACACCCATCCTCATCAGCGTACACGTTCTTTCGTCGGATGTTTCCACAGCGATATTCCTCCTCCATCACTGCCAGAGTCCTGTTCCATTGTCACCTCCCACATGCACTGAGCTCTTCAGCGTCACTCCTTGGCTTCATTTGCTGGCTACTGCCCTTCCCACGTTCACTGGGTCTCGGATTTCTGTCCTTCTTTGCCTGTAATAAAACCATTGGGAAAAGGATTTCCTGCCCTTCGTTTTGTGTTTTGGTTACCTGAACAGACAAGCCCGCCCTCTGTTCTACTCGTTCTGTTTCAGCCATGAAGAGACAGCCAGTCAGTAACGACTGACATTTGCATGTCAGCAATGTTATTTCATTGCTAACTTCGGAATAGAACATGGCAGCTGTCGCAGCCCAAGAAGCCAGTGTCGAAGCCCTGACCAAGGCGCCAAAGGCTCAGGTGCCGAAACCACAGGCACCCAAGACCTTGAAGATCAGCAAGGCCCGTGGCAAGTCGACTGCTACCAAGTCAGCTGGTCTGAATATGTCCGAGGCAAAGTCTTCTTCCAGCTCGTCTATTCCGCTTCTCTGCGTCGTCTGTCCTACCAATCCTCACTTCTCGGACGTCTCTCACCTTCTTACACATCTCAACTCGAAGGGCCACCTTCAGACCTTCAACGATGTCAGGATCCGCGCCATCACTGACCTTTCTGCCGCCCAAGCCATCTCCACGTATGAAAGGTGGTACAACGAGCATGGCCTTGAGGCCATGCTCGCGGAGCGCCTAAAGGTCAAAGATGAAAGATCGAAGGGCACCCCGACAGGCAAGCGATCCGGACAGCCAGTACCTCAAGTAGGGCATCTCTCAATCAAACCTTATCATTCTTGTAGGCTGACTTCGCATAGAATCTCAAGAAGAAGAAGAAACTCCCCCTTCTTGTCAAGCGCGAGCCCGGCAGTGACGCCTCCTGGACACCTCCTCCGACTGGTGGACTCTTTGAGCAGCAGGCAATCACGTTCTACGGAGAACAGAACAACAGCCCTGTCTCGACTCCAACCGAAGATGTCATTGACTGGACTCCAGATGAGCTTGAGTCAGCAAGACTGAAGGGAATCGTCTGGCCGGGTATGGGCATCTTTGATGCTGCAACCCCTGACCAGAAGAAGAAGAGAAACCAGCGCAAGGATGCCTCGGTGCTTCAACAGATGGAGCTATCTTCTCTGGCAATCACTACCACCGAATTGGTGGCGAATCTCGATATGGAAATCGCGAGAACCCGCGATGTCTATGACGCACCGTCAGTGGAGGGAACTCCGGTAAGCTCCCATAAAATAACTTGCTCGCGGGATCTGACCACATACTGATAAGTGCTGAAATTTTGAACAGATCGCCAAGTCGAAGCGCCGCCAGAAGCGCAGCCGTAACGTTGTGGAGGAGGAAGACGACGAAGCTTCTGAACTCCTTGTCAAGTCAGAGCCTATGGAGAAGCCTGCTCCACAGGCATCTCGTACTATAACTGCGCGACACAAGAACCACAACGCCAAGAAGGAGCTGGCGCTTGAAATGGATAACGAGGATCTATCGGAGAAGTTGGATGCCACGAGCGACGCCGCTAGCCTCGCTGAAGTTGACGTTGAGCTCGATGAAGATCTTGATGATTCTCCGTTCGGAATCGGATCTTCCTTGAACAACCTGAACCCCCGCCAATTCGCCAATCATGAAGAACATGACGTCTTCCGTGATGCCAGTCGTGGACTCGTTACCCGTAGGTCTCGCTAAATTGCGTAGCTGTGTCTCAGTGGCTGACTCCAGGGTAGGCCAACAGTTCTCTCAGGAGATGATGGATGAAGCTAGGTCTTTTAACCTTGACCTAGGAAAATTCAATGAAATGGTATATTGATGGCCCCTCTTTTGCAGATTCGATGTCCGCAATCGTATCCCTCTCCGGTCGATGAACGCGAACTCGAATCCGAGCTTTAATTCTCCCACTCCCTCTGCGAAGCACTTGACGAACCGAATGTTCAGAGGAAAGGAAAATAACCATGGCTTGCAGGGACAGAGAATGACAGGAGACACTTATGTCTTTGGTGGTGGCAACGGCCACGTGAACCGATCCATAATAGCCAACTCCAACAATCAGATGAACCAGCTCAGTGTGGCCGACCCCAACACCACGGCCAGCCCCTTCAATAGCTACCAGCAACAGCATGAGATCTTCTATCAGCAACCGTCTTGGGGATATCCGATGGTCGCGCCAACCGTGAATACGAGATTCATGCCCATCAATGGCAATACGACCCAGCCAGTGTACTACACCACCCAATTCGCCTTCAGTGCCGGCGAGAATGATCCGGGAAACGGAGCAAATGTATTCGGGGATGATCTCTGAGAAAGAAGAAGTCGTCAAACGAATTCCATGGACTGAACGGGCACCAATAGGCTCTAAGATGAGGAATTCAGGCCGATTAGTATCTGCTCTCTGACCCTTACGGAGTCAAATCATCATCGTGGTTCATGGAATTCTTCTTGGTCTTTCGATTTTACTTTTATTTTCTTTCAGTAAGCTTATATTGCTAGTCTGTCTTGTCTTCAGTGACTAACGAAACGCAGTTGTTCGCGGTGTTCGAGTACACAGGCAGACTTTTGCTCGCGTCCTCGACTCATCATCGGCTGATCTCTAGGTCCTGGGAGGGAGCAATGCGGGTTCCTTCGGATATTGGGTTCGACCGCAGAGTGTTGCCTTGTCAGGACGGAGTTTGCTACGAATAATAAGGGTCGAGGGGAATTACGCCACACACTGCCAGGCCTACAAAATACAAGCCAGGCATCGGAATTTGTGGTGGGCCATTCATATACGGTGACACTGGACTGAGAGTGAACTTCCACCGACTTTTAGGACTTTACCCTACAGCACGTTTTGATTCGGATGGAAGAGAAACATAGATAGCACAGTTTCATTCATACGTGGCCATATCGCGCCAAGCAGATACAACAGGCGTGGCTTCGTAGAATAAAGAAAAGACATTCAGCCTACTTTGTTTTGTTTTATTTTTGTGATACTGGTGCTAGAGTTGCTCTATGTTCGAGATTAAATGGTCAAGCTGATCCGGTTGGTTCTCCATCACCTCAGCAAGGAGACGGGCTGTGCCCCTTAGTCTTCGCGCTGCTACGTCTTGCTCCATTTCGCGCGACTTTTGCGCGGCCACTTCGATGACCTTGCGAGGTATCCGGGCCAGACGTGCGACGTTCAATCCGTATGACCTGTGCGCAACGCCCTCTCCGACTTCATACAGGAAGGTGATTTCCTCGTCGGCACCCGCGCCCTCACCGCCCTCGTCCCCGTCTCCCTCCTCCGTCCCAGCTTTACGTGTCGCTGTGAAGCGCATGTGAACGTTCTTGACAAGGCCCTCGCCGATGCCATCGGCCAGGCGGGCGAGGTTCTGGTAATGCGTGATGAAGAGGGTGAGGCACTTGTTCTCACGGACGACATGGTCGAGGACGGCGTGGGCGATGGCGGCGCCGTCGTGAGTCGAAGTGCCCCTGCCGAGCTCGTCGAGGACGACGAGGGAGCGCGAGGTGGCGGCGCGGAGGATGCGGGCCGTCTCCGAGACCTCGACCATGAAGGTGGACTCACCCGCGGCGAGGTTGTCGCGGGCGCCCATGCGGACGTGAATCGCGTCGGCGAGGGTTAGGGAGAGCTCGTCGGCGGGGACGAAGGAGCCGATCTGAGCGAGGAGGACGAGGAGGGCCACGGCGCGGACAAAAGAGGACTTTCCGCCCATGTTGGGACCCGTGATGAGGTGCGCCAGCGGGGACGGGGAGGAGAGGCTCGTCGTGAAAGGGATGTAGGGATCCGAGAGAGTGTGTTCGGCGATAGGGTGGCGGCCTTGGGTGATTGAGATTGTGGGCTGGGTCGGGGCGGGGAGGAAGGTCGGTTTGGTGTAGCCGGGGAGGGCAGCGACGCGGGAGAGGGAGAGAAGGCAGTCAAGGGTTGCGAGGGAGGAGACTGCGTCGCGGAGAGGCTGGTATGCGTCCGCAATGGTGTGGAGGAGGGAGGTGAAGGCAGCGTCGCAGGCGGCGGCAAGGGCCTCACGATGCTGGTCACGTTCGGCGATGAGGCGGACGACGGCGGGTGTGTGGAAGCGTGAAAGCTTCTTGGTGCCCGAGATTTTGATCCAGGAAGCGGGAACGGATTTGAGGTCTGTGTTGTTGACCTCGATGAGGTACTCAATGCCCGACACGGTGACGTAGTCGACGGCTTTCTTCCGCGAGAGGGAGGAGGCAGCCTCGGAACGGTGCTCGTCGAGGGACTGTTCGACGGCTACGATACCCATTTTGTGGTCTTCAATGTCCTCGGTCTGTTCGGACTCACGGAAGAAGTTGTACTTGTCGTCCTTCCGGGCAGCCTCCGGGTTGATCTTGTCAAGGTACGAGACGACCAGGTCAAGGATCTGAGGGAGGGAGAGGATGGCAGAGGAGATGAGCGGAGAGGTAAAGCCCGTGGCATCAGCCGACTTGACAGTCGAGTATTGCATGGCAATACGTTGAAGTGTTTGGAGGACGGAGAGGAGCTCTGGACGGGTGCATTTGCCGTAATAGATGCGGATCAGACTGCGCTCGAGGTCGGTCTTGGTGCCGGACAAGAGGGCCACTAAGCGGTCGACCTTGGCGGAGGATTGCTCGTCGACAAGTTCCTGGACGGCGGCGACGCGTTCTTCAAGGCGGGAGACGTCGAGCAGCGGCCGGCCCACCCATTTGCGGAGCAGGCGCTGGCCGAAGCGGGTGGTCGTCTTGTCCAGGGCCCAGAAGAGAGAGCCACGCTCAGAGTGGTCGGTAGCATTGCGATAGACCTCAAGGGCCTCAAGCGTTGTTCCGTTTAGGAGCATATGCTGGCGTGCCGAGAAGCTGGTGAAATTCTTGGTTAAATCGAAGACGTGTTCGAGGCCATACTCCTTAAGATGGTTGATCATGGCGGAAAGGCAGATAGTGACGGGTTCAGGGAGGTGGAGGATGCGCTCAAGGAGAGACGAGGCGGCGGCGTCCGGAGTTTGCTGCAGCTTGTCTGCGTAGAACTGTGTGATGTGCGAGTATGCCTCGGCGGCCATGGTCTTGGTGCGAGGGACGCGCTCGACACGGCTGCGGTCCCCAAAGACATTTGTGCTGCTCCCAGAAAGATGTTGCACGAGCTTATCGGATCCCTTGGTGAGGTCACCGACGATGACGAACTCGCAAGGGGAGATGTGAAGAAGCCGTGTCTCGATCTCACTTCGCATGAAGCCATCCTCGAAGGTGTCGTAGATGATATCCCCGGTCGTCGGTTGCACGGCAACTATGCCGACCTCGACCTTCTCATCCGTGCCCTGCCCATTTGTCGGGGTCTCGGTAATACACAGTAGGTAGCCCCCTGACGGAGCACCTCCATCGCCACCGGTTTCCAACTCGCCATTCTCGTCGATATAGGTACCTTTGGTGTAGACGTTGGTCAACTTGCGGATGAACGGTGCGTTGCGGTTGTCACCGGCCTTCTTGAGAGCAGCAGTCTCGATCTGGCGGACGACGCCGACCTTGTGGCCAGCAGCGACGAGACGCTTGGCGTGGACTGGCAGCCGGTGTACCGGAATGCTCGCCGAGGCAAACCGGTCCCAGTGCGCCTCCGAAGGGTGCTCGTCGTAGCGGTACTTGCCCGGAATGCAGACGATGCTGAGCTCCTTAGCAGCAATGCGTGCGTCCTCCCCAAAGAATCGGAACTTGTAGCCGACCTCGACGATGAGCACAGTGTCGAGATGCTTGCGTTTGATTTCGAGGAACTGAAGCTCCATTGGCGTGAGCTTCTTGTTCGCTCTTGCGCCTCCCTTCTTAGCCTTGGGCGCCGGAGGGGCCTCGTCTTCATCGTCCTCCTCGCCCTCCTCTCCATCAGCAGCTTCATTGTCGTCCTCCCTCCGCCGCCGCCAAAGCATGCTGTCTGGATGGCCCAGCTTCTTCACGAACTTGTTGTGCAGCTCCTCCTTGCGTTTCTTCGTGTATGGGTCTTCATTCTCCTCTTCATCAACATTTACATCCGAGGCCTGGCTGTACGCGAACCGTCCTGCCCGATTGGCAGCCGTAGACGCCTTGGACTTGGGCTCGGTGGTAGGCCGTTTAGCTCCTGGCGCGAAGACAGAGCCTTCCTCCTCGTCCGTAGCATCTGCCTTCTCCTCAATCCCCCTCTTTGACCTTTTGGGGTTCTTCTCTGAGCCGTTGTTGACCTTGTCTGCATCCTCTACTAGAGGTCGCTTGCGTGAAGACTCTGGCGACTCGGACGGACTCGTTCGGGATTCGGACTGGGACTTTTGGAAGGCGGCAGCAAGGCCATTGACAGTCTTGGGTTGAAAAAAGTTGGTGAGTGACTGCTGCTTCTTCTCGTGGAGTTTCGACTTAGGCGCCATGGTGAATAAGCGGGTTGGCGCTGTTTGGTGAAGACGGACCAAAAGCTACCTATGTCGGGAAGGGGTTCGTGATGTCAATTGGGAGGCGGCCCCATTTCATCGCAGAGCTGTCGCGTCTCACGGGCAGGAGCGCGTTGATAGCTTGCAGGGGCCCACTGCACTAAGCTCGCAGTGGGCCTCAACCACTACATCCCCAGGGATTGAGCCCCCTATCGGCACTTAAACTTTCTTTTTCAACAACGCGTCCAGTTTCATTTGGCGTCTTTAGCGCGAAATGCGACGGTATCCCGCACATCTTTGAAAGACTTTTCATAGTGAATCCAGCTTGGCATTCTACTAATTCTGTTCATGGCATTTCCTGAAGGTTTTCCTGGGTAGAGAATCGTCTTTTATATGATATCGGCCTGCTAAATCTGAATACTCCACGCCCGCTCATGGTGAAAAAGGGGATGTTCAGGGGCACGACGGTAGCGCACATTTACCGTGATCCCATCTAGCGTGGTGAAGAGCTGGCAGAGAGTCCCCTCGTTTTCCAAGTCGCCAGCGTTGCAGACGTAATACCGTATATAGTGCATCCTCATGCATACTGCTTTGTCTAGGTAAAGAAGGGCGAAGTATATAACCGACCAATTGACGCCGACGGAAATTCAACACCAGCCCGGCATTGCTACTCGATATACCCCACTTTCCGGGGCTCTCCCGGGGCCGCCCGTGGTCCAAGACCCGATCCAGCTTGAGGGTCGGAACGTACCCACACCGAGTGGCTCACTCATTCCGGTCCGCTTTCTTGAAAGTACCTACCTACCTAGACGTGGCTAGATATGCAGACCCCTAAGGTCAGAATTGCAATGCACTAATGGGTTGCTCGAAGCTTGAATGTCGCGCAAGGAATTAGCGCCGGGTTTAGTTAATCGGATCCAAGGATTGAAGAGAATTATCGGCCAGCCACGCTCGTGGCACCAACAGACAGGAGTGGGTGCACGTGATTTGTCGAAGGCGTGATTGGCTATGGTGCCCAAGATTAGAGTGACTTACAAATCGAGCTTCGGTGAGGTCAGCGCAGAGGGAAAAAAAAGTGGCCCGAGGTGCAGAATAACAGCCATTTCTCCAGCCTTCAACCCCCGATCGCAAACCACTTACCTCACTTCCCAACACTCGCTTGACTTTCAAAATGGCCTCCCCAGTTGCCGCCATCCGTAGGGAACCCGGAAAACGCACTCATTATCACGCAATGGCTAACATTCTCTTTTTGCAGCCTCAATCGCCACTCTGGCCGCTGCGCCGGCTGCTGCCGATCAGCAAGCCTCTAAGCCGAAGGTGCGCAAAGCCTCTGGAATAAAACCTCCAGCCCAATGACCCTACACCGAACGCATAGAATGCTGACGAACAATCCCGAGTACAGCCCTGCTGTGTATGCAAGGAAGAGAAGACTAAGCGCGACGAGTGCATGCTCTTCTCGAACGCCGCCGATCCGGCCAAGGACTGCCTCTCCACGATTGACCAATACCGGGCCTGCATGAAGGGATTCGGGTTCACGGTGTAAACGACAAGCGGATAAACTTGCCTGAGGTCAATGTGACGATAAGACTTTGTGTAATAGTACGAACCGAGCATACAATACGGCGTTGGGGAATAGAAAAACCATCACGGCTCCTTCATGACCACACCACTTCCTATTACTCCCACGTCGCAAACCGTACTCTTTGTGCCCTGTTTGTTAAACTCTGGGCACTGTGTTTCGAAGTATATGCGGCTAGCCCTGCTTGGGTCTGATACTGCCATTTATTCCGCAAACCCATGACCTCCACCTCCTTGGCTTGGTGCTCAAAGCTAGGGTTCCCTCTCGAATGCCATGCGGCTGTTTTTTTTATTGTTGATCGTAATCTTCAACGGACTAAGTCTTACTTTGAATTGGGTCCTCGGCGTTGTTGCAGCGCCATTCAGTCCCGGTATATAGTGATGGATGCTCAGCACTTGGTAAGAATACCACGAGAGATGCTTTCTTACACAGGTCATGTAAAGTGTTTGGATAATGGTTGCGTTCACAAAATGGAAGTGCCTGCGAGCTGGCGATGGTGAATGTATTCAAGTTGTTATCATTTTCATGTCGAACCCGGTTCAAAAAAGATAACTGAACGGGGAAACGAAGGACGCATTTCACGCAAGGACGAAGGGGATACGATTGAGAGACTCAACATGAGCTTTAAGCAAGGTCACGGCAGTGTTATGATACATGCTCGAAACTTCAGTAGGCTTGCTGCTGCTGCTGCTACAAGCTCTCGGGAGAGGCTATTCGAGACCGGGGCAGTGAACTCTTTTGCAAATCGAACATTGTCAAGTATGGTACAAGAAGAAACAAACTCCAACTTAAATAACTTCAGAGGGCTTTGCTTCTTCCCGTAAAGAGCACCTTGAGTTTGAAGGTGGTATAATGGAGTTAGTGATGCTGTGCCCGTTGACCTCGGACGGGTCGGTGAGATTCGGTGAACGGATATTCCTCGGATACGTACTGTAGATTGCAGGGATCAGCGACATTTCCCGATAGGACCCCACCAAAATTTTTCTGCGATAATGGCAGCGACTGCATCTCTTATCGTGCATTGCGAAAACTCCCGTCTTCTTTCTCAACGAGTCTGTACTTGCCAAACCGCAACGATGGGTCTGGCACAGGCAAAGACGTGAGGACCAACCCCCCAAAGACAAGCAAACCTACCCCCAAGACACTGACAGTTTTGCAGTCGCCGCAAGATCGGCAAGGATCCCAACAACACGAAATGGACCAAGGACACGGATTCCTTCGGTCAGAAGATCCTGCGATCCCAGGGCTGGGAGCCTGGGCAGTACCTCGGTGCGAAAGACGCTGCTCATGCAGTGCACCATACTGCCGCTAATGCCTCATTCATTCGTGTCGCCCTTAAGGATGACATGCTCGGTCTAGGCTTCAAACAGGCGAGGGATGACCGGGTCACGGGCATGGACGTCTTTTCTGACCTCCTAGGACGATTAAACGGCAAATCGAGCGAGTCCATCGAAAAAGAGCGCCAGGCCCGTGCAACCCTTCAGGGCACACTCTACTGCGACACAAAATTTGGTCCCATGCGGTTCGTTAGGGGAGGATGGCTTGTCGGCGACCAAGTCAAGGATGAGCCCACCGCCGAGCCCAAGGAGGAAGATAAGGACGACATCAAAATGGAAGATGTACCCACTATCAGCGAATCGTCGGGTGGGAAGTCGAAGAAGCGCAAAGCCGAAGAGTCGAGCGAAGATGAATCTTCATCCGAGGACGAAAAGGCTAAGAAGAAACGGAGAAAGGAGGAGAAGAAGGCAGCCAGAAAGCTTAAGGCTGAAGCTGAGGCTGAGGCTGACGGTGAGACTTTGATAAGCGAAAAGAAGGACAAAAAGCGGAAATCAAGCTCCTCAAAGGAGGATGCTTCCGAAGATACCCAGGACGAGGCGGAGAAGAGATCCAAGAAAAACAAGAGGAGAAAGGAGAAGAAGAAGGAAAAGAAGGAGGCTGGCAGCGACGAGGAGGAATCATCCGACGACAAGACCACCAAGAAGAAGCGCAAAGGCGAGACCGATGCCGAGAAAGCTGCGAGAAAGGAGGAGAAAAAGCGTCGCAAGGAGGAGAAGCGTGCCAAGAAGGAGGCATCGCGGGAATCTACATCGACTCCCACCACATCAACACCGACCGCCAGCGGTACCTCAACACCAGTGCTCAGAGGCCATCATGCAGTGAGATCGCGGTGGATTGCGCAGAAGAGAATGGCGACCATGGACGACAAGGCATTGAACGCGGTATGTTCTGCATCATCTACATGCCCCAGACCTTTGGCTAACACATTCCAGATCTTCATGGTGAAGTCGCAATCCTGATAGACTAGCAACATAGAGGTCTGATAACGAAAAGTTTTCGGCATTTTGTTCTCGAGTTTCCGTAATATTGATGCCAATGCGCCAGACCAAGCCCCACGGCAGGAGATGGCAATGATGGGCCCAAGCCGGACACAAATACGCTCTACTCCAGCACAGCTCTCGGCTGCATAACCACAAAAAAATTCATATGCCCCCATGTAGCCGAGGGTGGCATCGTGTCCTGGTATTATGTCAAAGCGAGGGGAGCTGTCGGCTTCTCCGCCGCCCTGTTTTATGCCATCGTTACTGACGGCTGGGTCAGCATCCTCCACCGGGTTAGGCTGGCACTGGTAGGATCTGCTTGTTAGTCGTACTGGAGATGAAGTTTGGATTGACCAAGTCATATTATTGAATGGCATTTACTTGCGCGGAGGAGCATGCAAAGGCTTAAAATAGAATCTGGATTGCGATGGGGAATAGGGCGACCGCAAGCATCTTCAAAGTTGGAACCCTACCGTGACCAACAGTTACCTAGTTAAGAAGCCTACTGAGGAGCTTCATCTTGGAAAAGCTGATTGGGCCTTTCCGTTTCAATGATCGCCCGCTTCTCTCTATCCTTATCATTACATTTGATCCATATCCATCCATTCGCTAAACTTTCTGGGGCAACAGAAAGTGGGAGTGTGAGATTGGTCATCGGACAGGCATCGTATGTGTGCCGAATATACCCCGTGTTGGCTCACCAAGGTGTCCCAGTCTCCTACCATCCCGAAGGCAACTTTGTCTGCCAACTCAACCATGGCGACGCTGAGGTTTCCAAACAAAATGAGAAGGCTTTGTAAGCGCCCCTCCAATATGAACATCGATAGAGGTACAAGCTTTGAACCAGACTTGTCAGGAGGCGCACCTTAAATGGGAACATAAGGCCAAACAAGCCTCTATCTCCGAATACCCTGGCCAGTCTATGGTGAACCGGCAGCATCGACTTCTGCTCCCGACGAAGAGTATTGACTTAAGCCCAACCCAGGAATCAAAGCTCTTCAGCACTAATCCCTCAACTTCTCATTGGCACCTCAGGTTGATCAACAAGAGAACAGACATCAAGAAGGCTTAGAACCAGATACAGGATGACGATTGACCCAGAGAAACAGACCCGTTACTGGCGCAGCCGCTGCTCTTACCCAAGGCCCTCTGCCGGCGAAGCCAACGATGGATCGGGCGATGACAGCACCGACGAGAGCTGCAGTCCCTTCAAACGCAAGGCCCAACAGTTCAAGACCCTCGTGAACAGGGCTGAGGCTGAACCGTCTTGGCGCCACCGGGTCGCCGATTGGACCCCTCCATTCACACAGGAACACGATTTAGAGTCTCCTTTGAAGAGATCCGTTACATGGAACCCCGATTACGCCCCCTGGAACACGAATCGTCGTCGTGCCTCTCAAAACAGCACCCAGACGGACGTGTCTTACACCACCTCTTCATCCGACGACTCCAAAAGGCCGTCCCTGTTGGAGGGAACCGATTCGGACGAGTTCTTGGACCCGCGTAGCCCGTACTTCAACTTCACCCAACAGAAGCCTACAGCTGCCGATCACTTTCGTCTGCCCCTTGATAATGCCAACAACAACTCGCCCAGAACGTTTTGCTCCCTCGCCGACAGCCTCAAAAGTCCTCTTTTGAGTATGGAAGCCCTGAAGAACCGAGAAGCCCCCAATATCAAACAATTTCTCGAGCTTCGTCGCTCACGTGTCCTTCCCTCGCCATTCCCCGGGCTTCCTGTGCAACGGCTAGCAGACACCAGCACGGCTGTTGCATCTGGCGGCACGGGCAAGCTGCGCAAGGGGTGTTTTGATGCGAGACTCGACCCTCGACTGGAGGCGTCAGAGAAAAGAGCAGAAAGATTGGACCAGTTGGCGGTGTGGGTTGTTGCTGGACTCGTTGGGGTCTGGGTCTTGTTGGTGATAGCAAATCTCAGATTGGCTGGATACGAGGCTGCGCTGAAAGCGATACAAAGAAAATAAGCAAATATAGTGAGCAGAGCGGTCTGTGAGGTTCTCGCAGGGTCGCCTGCTGCAAGGATGATTGTACATCGATAGATGAAAGTCCTTTCATCCAACCTGATTAGTTCAGTCTAGCACACAAGATCCATATGCTGTTTCACGGCCTAAGTCGCCATCACTCTGCGGTAACATCTCAGCTGTGACATCTTGTAGGTGAACAAATGATGAAGTTGAGGGCACGAGAAGTGCCGTGTTGCCTAAGAACAAATACTAAACTAACAATTCGAGAGGGTATATTGCAACGCACAAGAAACCGTAAACTCCGTAAGCCCCGCCAAAGCATTAGAATTATCAATACCGCTGCGCCTTGCCATACCGCCAGAGCAGACTTGCCCCTTCCAACGTAGGCATGACTTTTGGTCGCGAAGCGTCCGGCGAATCCTTCATGACAAGATGAATGGATTTTTGAAACCTCCTCCTGAAGCGTCTCCAATCGTCGTTGGTCGGCCAAGTCTCGTCCTCGCTCTCCAGGTCATCCTTGTCGAAGCAGTCATCCTTGTCCTCGTCGACGTGCAGCGGGTAATACATGAACTCGTTGGTGTGCGGGTGTCGAGGCTGAGTGTAGTTGAGATGAGACTCGATATCGAACTTGAAGCGGTATCCCTGGTGCACCAACTGTGGCCGCGATGCCTCTGGTTGGCTCATCTGATGCATGGGGTGTGGTGGTCGGACATCAAAGTCGAACTGGAATTCCTGATGGACGACGAAGAGGAGCTTTCTCAGCCGTGGGAACTTGGATAGGCGGGCCAGCAAGGTCGATATGTTTGATTTGGAGACTTTCCAACTCAGGACGGGGTGGCAGATGCCGGTGTACAGCCCGTATGACGTGCCCATGGCAAGTCGGCTGAGGTTATCCCGGACAAGAGGGATCTGGTTGAAGAATTGCAGTGCCCGAAGCAGACGCTTGACCAGCAAGTACGGCTCGAGCAGCAGGATGTCGCGCGACAGGTCGAGGTACTTGGTGGTGGCTGACAGGGTGAGAGGTCTGTAGCGCTGTAGCACAAACACCCTCGTCTCATGGCACACCGCACCCAGGGCTGGCGGAGGCTCGTGTCGGACGTTGGCGAACATGAGTCCGGCTGCCGCAGAGGTCTTCTGACTTGCATTTGGCGAGTCCATTACTTCGTACACGCGCGAATTCGGCAGGGCGTACTCCCATATCATCAACCGTATCTCGACCGGCAGCTTCATGACGGGGAATGCTTCGCCTGTGGTGAGTGCGGATTTCGAAAACTCCTCTGCCAAAGGCGCAAACAAGGTCGAAGGCATTTTGTTCGCTGTGTGACGTTACGGCAGGAGCTTGAATCTGGGTTGCATCGCATGCGAGATCTTCAGAGACAAGATTGCAGTGGGAAATCCCGACTGGCGATCTTCTTTAAAGCTGGATGGGCTCCGTGGTTGGAGAAGGAGGGGGAAAATCTAGTAATCGACGGGTCCGACCACTCGGGCAGCAGCCGCGCAACGGCCGAACAGCAAGAAACCAGACGAACAGATCCCCGACGGGGAGTTTGGCGTTGAAATACAGGATTGTGATATCCACTTGGCTTAACGTTTCGACTAGCGGCCCGAGGGATGGCGCATAGAGAGATACGAGTGTTGTTTCGTGGAATGAGACGGCATGCGAGTTTTATCCACGAAACCAAACGGGTTCGCAGGTTGATGAGTGTAGATGGGATGGTCGCCAATCGGATGGCCTCCTCGAAGGGAAGCGGGCAACCTTTCTAACCCTATCGGCGAAGGCGGGAGCTTGTTCGGGCAAGTTCAAGGAACAAAGTGAAACGCAGGAAGGATGTCGCCTGACTCCTGCTTTGAACGGAGAGAGGGATGGAAGCTGTTTTTGTGAGCTGCTGCTGCTGCTGCTGCTGCTGCTCGGAGCCTCCCTCTCATCATTTCGGTGAAACCGGGGTTTAGCCCGATCATCTAATGGGTGTCAGTCAGTCCCTAGGCCGCCTTGGGTGGTGGAATAAGGCTTGGGTGGAGGAATAAGGTAAAGGCAATTGCCATATAGCCGTACCTGTGGTGTCGTCAGTGGTCAAAACAAAAAGCAACGTGGGATGCTCGCGGCTGGTACTCCGCAACATTGGACTATCGGGCGCCATGATTGCCAAATCTGGTAGTCCAGCCCGCAATTACTATGTAATGACGCGCCGGCGTCAAAGCGAGAGATGCACGTCCGATATCCGGGCCTCTTAAGAACGCACCGCTGCGGTCCTAAGGAACGGGATCCCCTTCCCAGTATCTGGCGAGATATACCCAGGCTGGAGGGGCAAGTGATGGACCGACCCACTAGTAGGTATTATTGTACGGGCTACGGGCGACATCGTGTACGCAGCACGTAGCAGTGTGTGTAGACGTGGCGGCATGCTAGACTCAAAGCATCTGGTGAGGTGGTGACAGTTCATGACCTAATAAGCTGGTAATCGCTGATGGGTAGTCCGGCCAGCAACTGATTGGAACCCCCCACGGAGGTGCCGGCATTCGAAGCCATCCAACGACATAGCACGGTGCTGGACTGCCGAGCTTGCTGCATGGCATGGGCGACTGGACTGCAGAGGGGGCGGCTAAGGCGCCCAGACACTGGCCCGGGGGGGGGGGGGGGGGGGGGCAAGTCGGGGAAATGGTGGCATTGGGAGAGTGGGCAGTGGAAAGGGGAGCTCGCCGAGGAAAACAGACAACGGACGAGGGAGGGGAGAGGAGTGGGAGAAGGGTTCACGACAGGGGCACCGAGGAGCTCGGGCTTTCGTTAGTACAGGGTTGAAAGCCATTTGTTTGAGGCATCTGGGGTCGCGGACGGCACAAATGCAGACCACACAGTTTGGTTTAAGCATATTGCGCTGCGTCTTGGCGTCTCCTTCAGACTTCCTTGTCGCCAGCTTACATAGTAGGTTTTAAACGCCCAATACGGGAGGGGAAGCTTCACAGAGCACTTGACAGCATTGCATGGCCGTCTAGTTTTAATCTCCTGCCCGTCTTGTCTGTGTCCTACCCCATGCGCGGACCCATCGGACAAGACCCCTTTGGTGGCTGTTTGGTAACCGGCATTATACCGGTAGTATCTAGTCTATTCTGCCCTTGTCGATATATCGCTGTATGTCCCCCATGTTGCATTGTTGTTGCATATGGACTACCCAGGGCTATGTGACAAGATGTGTCCGTACATCGTATACCATCTGCTCGATGCCCACACCAAGTAAGCGGTGAGGGGACTCCCAATTCACAGAAGAGGGTGTCTTCATTTGTTGCTCGCAAGCGTCTTGCTGCACTTTGGGTCGTGACTGGGACCCCGTCATTTAGTTGGCTCCAGTCCGACGTCCCCTGCGTCGCACACTGAGTGCAGAATTATGGAGAATGGGCGTCAGCCACGAGGGGGCTCTAGACGCACGGACCATGCCCGGCAGCATGACCGACGCAGCGACGACGACCGCGGAACCTACCGCGACTGTCCAAAAGTTCATGCGGCGTCGCTCGGCGTAACATTCATCCGCTTGTTCTAGGGCTCTTGGGGAATCCACTCTGTGCAACCGTGCGCTGCGCCGCCCTGTACCGTGATATAAAAATGAAAATTTCGGTCGCGGTTCTTGCAGAGCCTTCTTTTTTTTCTTCTTTTTTTTCTTCGTGCGGCTGGCACGACTCTTTACAGTTTCCCCTGTTGCTGGAATTCCTAAGTCGGTGAATTCATGGCGTCAGTCGTGCCCCAGATCGAATTTAATTGCAGCCGGCCTTGTCCTTCATTGATCCTTTCTGCCCCAACGGGTTGGATCGCGTTCGTCAGGCCGGACATACTCAGAACTTGGGGGCCCTTTAAATGGGTGGATGGATGGATGGAACGCGCGATGCGACAACGTATGAATATGACCTTCGTGATGATGAGCTGTACATCCTCAGATCTAAGTCTAGATGGCCCATCAATCATCAGCGTCAACCCTGAGTTATTGACGTTCGCAATGTGCCGAAGTCACGTTGACGTCTGGCATGGTTTGATCTCGTGCCACGGAAATAACGGAAAGACCATTTACTGCTGAGGTTTTGTTTGTTCGGTTTTACTGAGCCTAGTAACGGCCGGCAACATCTATGACTATCGCTCTATTCATGATTCTCGTTGCATTGGGTCGTGCGAGCAATGTTTTTCTTCATCGCCGGCCGATTAGATCTTGTAGAGTGCCACCGACTTCTACTCGCCGGCCTCATCGCCAATCTTCTCCAGCTTGCCCATCTCTCTCTTCTCCCCCGACTCGCCAATGAGGCGCACGCGGTCGAGGCGGACCTTCTCGCCTTCGCCATCGCCCTTGGTGACGTAGATGATCAGGCTGGTGATGTTCTGAAACTTAACGAAGCGCAGACCAATGTTGGCGGTGCCGTCGGCGTTCCAGTCCTTCTCGGTAAGCTCGATGGCTTGCGTGGGAGGGGTATCGTCAGCTTCGCTAAAGTCGAGGTTGTGCGGCTTGTTCGTGTAGAGATGGATGGTACCAGGGCGCATCGGGGCCTCGTCGTCGTCGGCAGGAGGAAGAGAGGTGAGCTGCGTGCCGTCTCTGTTACCAATTTCGTAATTCACATGAGGCGGGTGTGTGTCATACCTGAAGTGTGTGCAGCTTCAGCATGGCCTGGAAGGGCATGAACAGCAGGAGCTGGTCGTCGGCGCCACTCTCAACCCAGTCCTTCGCACCCTCCTTCTTGGCCAGCGCACTGGGCTTCGACGTGTCGAAGAGGACGCGAACTGGACCGAAGTCCTCGTCGGCATTGAGCAGCTCACAGCCTCTAGCCTCGACTTGATCAGTGATGTCGCTGTATCCGCGAGGGAGCTCTGCGCCTCTCCATGATCCACCACTCGAGCTGCCGGAAGCCTCTCCAGATCCGGAACCGCCCTCAGAAACCTCCTTGGCCAACTTCTTTACTACCTCCTGGAGCTTGCGGGGATCGGCACCTTGAACCTTCTCAAGGGTCTTGCCCTCGCGGAAGATCATGAAGGTGGGGAGAGAGGTAACGTTGTAGGCGGAGGCAATCTCTTTCTGGGCCTCGACATCGATCTTGACGAAGGTTACGACATTCTTGCGGGACAGCGACGACGAGAGCTGTTCGTAGAGGGGCGCAATGGCCTTGCAGGGACCGCACCAGTCTGCATAGACTGGAAACACATTTGTCAGCAAGCTAGGCCAATCGTTGAGTGGTGAAATAACCGGCAGAATGGGTTCCCAATGATGCGCCAAGGTAGCCGCAGATGAGGAGTCGAACGACGGCGAAATTGCGACCAGAAAGAATACCCAGTGGCATCGTTGGTGCCATCTGGGCAAGGAAGGGGCAGGGATGTAGAGGTTTCGGTTGACCAAGGTGGTACTTACAGTCCGCAACAACTATGCGGGAGCTCGATAAGAGCGTCTGGAACTCTGTTGGCGACTTGATGTGAACCGTAGACATCTTCGCGGTTCCGAGGATCGCAGGGTCTAGTCGGTGTGGTGTGTGTGTGGGACAGAAAGAATGAGGGAAGAGTACAATTGTGATGATGGAATCTAGGAGAAAGCTGCCCCGCGACGACACACTAGGCAGGCAGGCAGGCACGGGCTGGGTGATCTCTGGCAGGAAGACAGGAGCTTACCTAGGTACCCCGCACCATGCCTATCTGGGATTAGTGCTACTTGTCTTGTAACTGTTGTACTGTTCCACCGTGGCAAACAAATTGCTTTCAACATGATACCTATTCAAATGGGATGGTGATTAATCCATAGGGTGCTCCATACCTGTATCGACCTGGCCATGTAGCCCCCCTAAATTGAAAATAGGATGGCTTTCAATCCACGACTTTCGAAAGTGGTGGTTCTCTGTACAGAAAGGAAACCAGGAATGCGCCAGGACAATACAGAGCCCTTACAGAGGATAAAATGAAGTGCTTCTTTCAAAGCTTTGACAAGAACGGTTTAGAAATTGATCAAGTCAACTGATCCATGGTATATAAAGATACTATAATTTTACAACATCAAAGAACTTTCCTCTGTAATGCTTTCTAAACTCCCATAGAAGGAAACTTTGAGCAGGCTACAGATTAATGGGTGGCAATATTCATTGTGAAATTACATTGAATCCTGTCCGCTTACCAGTCGTACATTCTTCCCGTCATAATACCGCCGTTGTAGGTGTAAATGAGACAACCGACCTGTACCTTGCCACCAACACCGCCATTGTGGCCTACACTCTCCAAGCATTAGACAATACATCTCTGCTAAGAGCATCAGAAAGTGGGAAGAATAAAGCTATACTCACACAACAAGTAGTTTTCCCGCATCAAGTCATGGCAGTTGAGTGACGCACCAACATGCCCCAGGGGCCGCCGGATCGCCTGACTCTCAACTTCCGTCTGGCATCCCGCTGCCCACTCAACCTTGTAGTGGTGACGTCCCCCATTTGCGTCTTGAAACTCCACACGTTGAGACTCCATCCCAGGTTCGAGGTAGCCGCCTTTTCCCCTCAGCAGGTCACAAAAGGCGGAAACGCCCTTCTCTTGCTTCTTGGGGTCGATGGGGTCGTGGGGGCTGTAATCTGCCTCCAGATTGCAGACCCTGGCCTGTGCCTCCAGGGGGGTGATGCCTGGTGCTCTGATGCGAGATGGTATACCAGTAGCTTCGAATGTGGGAGAGGGAGCGTCTGAAACTTCCAGAGCCGGTGCTGAGACATAGAAGGCAGGTTCTCCAGCCGCAAGGCCTGCTATCAGAACAAAAGTCGTAGTGGAATGCTTCAGGGTAAAGATCAACATTATGTTCCTGGTTAGATGGCTGAAAGGAGCAAAGACAGTAGGGATTTTGAAAGCAATATGACCAGAAAATGCTCTTAGTTGCCAGAGCTGGATATATAGATGACCTACCAAGGTGGCGTGTTCGAATCAATGCGGGCAGTGCCTTTGTGGGCATGCACAAATGCAGAGCATGTCGTGGTCGCAGGCCAACGCCAACAATTGATTGGAAAGACCAAACAAACGTCCAAGCCGTAGGCAGGGTTGTAAATGTCACCCTGGATGAAGACAAGCCAAGAGATTCACTTTGCTGTCGTTCGGACCAAACAGGTTAAGTAAAGTAGTTTGCCGTTCGATCAACCCGAGTGGTTGGTCTCTTCCCCTCAATTCTTTGTTTTAAAATGGTCCGTTTTGTCTCATCAAGGTCGTACATAAACAACATCCTGGCTTGAGTGACATTCAAAGGTCAAGATACGCAAGCGCCATCTCTTGGTTCTGCATCATCGTTACTACAAGCCACTGAGTGCGGCAATAGTCAAGCACAGTAATTACAGGTTGTTATCAAACCCACCAGTGCTCAATTTATAGCTGCAACGAGGGAATTGGATTATCTGCAAACATCTCTGAAAATGAAGTATGCTACTAAACGGTTGGATTACTCTAGGTATATCATCTAAGGCTTGTTTCTGCCTCCTTGTATCTCTTCTGCTAGCAATGGAAATTTTCCAGGGATAACAAGCCGAGGTAAGGTGATGAATAAATATCTAGAATTAGTCTCAGTCATCTTTGTCTGCTAAATCACATATATGTTTTTTATTGACTGAGTGGCGTTCAAGACTTAGCTTGTGAGAATTGCGACTCCCCTTCTTAACGCTGAACTATTTTCTATTCTCCTCCATTTTGACCGCATATCAGGCAAGTGGTTAAAAATCCTGAGGCTGTGTCATTTGGCGTGAAATGATAATTCTAACTGTGTTGGCTGTGTTCAATAATAGCCTAGGGCAAAGCAGTGTTAGTCTGCTCGCATTTCCGATCACAGCCATATTGCTATTTGCAAAAATACAGTGTATCTGGAAGGATTTGAAGACATGTTCAGATAAGTAATAGTTATATCTTCTCAGATCCCGTATTAGAAGCCGGAGTACCCATAGACGTAAGCTTGTCACTGGCCCAAATGAGATAGTGGAATCTGATTTTTGCTCTTCTTCCATCTGAAGCTTGAATGGGAATCAGAGATCCGGTATCAAAGTGCCTTCAACTTTTAGCTCTGAATCAACCGCTATATAACCTTATGGAATGGTGAAAGCTGTCCCCTTTGCAACCCCAGCTCAAAGCTGCGCAACCGCCTTTTCAACTGAAAAGGAGTCTCAGGGCAAAATGTTGAGGCAGAAACATGTAGGTCACATTTGTTATATGGAATTTTCAGGCAGATAGGGCAAAATCTAAGCCAATTCATTCTTAGTTCAGAATGGAAATGTCACTGAGCATACATTGAATCAAGCTGCCATTATCTATATGCATGTTTATCTGCGCAGGAGCCTAGGTAGGTGCAAGGGTTAGTCATTCGTCGTCCCAAAGCAATAGCACTTCAACAGTGAATTAACTGAAGAACCTGATGGAATTAACCTTACGGTGAGTTGGAAAGATAAAATAAATGCACACATAGGTTCAAACAACGACAGGAAGGCTAAGAAGTGAGAGACTTCTTTAAGATGGCAGGGCCTTGTGCTCCTTCATACAACCACTTCACCTCCAGTTCATGAGACTCTTTAGCTCATACAAAGCAGATGAGCTCGCATAAGTCAGCTTCAAGCTTTGGACAAAGGGATTGGTTCATGCTTTCATCCACCCATCCGTCCCCGCTTCCTTTCCGTCCATCTCATCTCGCCCCAACAGCCGCACTATCAAGGCTTCTCATCTGGAATGAGAAGCAACTAGATAAGCCGCCCGGCATAGTCCTCTCGAAATGTAAAAAGAAGTAACTGAAGCTGAAAATACTTGACATTCTTGTCGGACCTTACCAGAGAACTACCACCTGTACGGGTTCGCCTACGCCAACCGCACAAGCCAACGATACCCCCGCGCCAAAGCCTTATGATGACTTCAGACGACGTACCGGATGGAACAGATCGTCGGACAGCTCAGAAACCTGTAAAGAGAATGAAAAATCTCTGGAATGCCTTGCGCGGCATCTTAATGCCCATTGGTCCCGCCAAGGTCGGTGAGGGTAAGATCAAACCCCTCCATCTTGTGCCGTGAGTGTTTGGATAGTTATTGATGAATTTCATCGCAGATCTCGATATTCCGGCCACTTCTTTCCCTAAATTTCGTCAAATTCCACTCGAAACCCGTCGTATGATTTGGATGAGGTCTCTGCCCTCTGGACGAATCTACGAACCGAAGCCATACAATGACTGGATCATGTACGACCCCCGACCAGTCCAATTCTACCAACATTAGGCCCCCCCTGTCATGAGAGAGGCCTCTAAAGAGGCCTATCAGGTCTGCATGGCAAACGGCTCATTCCGTTTCGGTTATTATAGCAACGCGAGGCCTGGACTGGTGCGCAGCATGCCAGCATCTGGTACAACGACGAGCAGGATGCGGTTTACCTGCACACCTTTGATCAATGGAACAGCCTTGATCGCTTCGATGTCAAGAACATTTGCACCAGGAAAGAGATCGCGTTAAACAGAGAGCACTGCGAGCGTGTTCTCGGCAATCTGGACTGTAACCGTGTCATCGTCGCCTGCTACCCCGTCGGCACCCTTACCGAAGGGCAACTGACCGAGACATTTCCTGTCTGCCGATCAATTCGCAGTGAAGACGAATTCGTTACTATAGAAGAGGTTGACCCCGAGGACTGGGACGAGGGCCTTGAGTTGACTTGGAGAGAGGATAAGGCCTTTAACAAGGACTGCTGGGAGAGGGAGAAGTTAGGCAAGTCTGTAAAGTTCGAGGCAGTTGAAGTATTCCGAAAGGCTCGCAAATCCAGCTCGCTTTGAAGTCAGAGGATGGCGAGGGAGGAAGACTATGAATACGGACCGGCTTAGATCAATGGGCTACAATGCATCCGGGATATTCAAGGGGTTCTTGTGACCAGTGTGCTTTTGCTATGCTTTTCTTAGGTACCTAGACTTACTAAGAACTGGCAGAATACCACAAGGAACTGTTCCAGTAAGCGACCTAGAATAAGATGCCACCGCTGGCAATACTGGAGACCACTGAAACATCTATCGCCTCAAATATGTATTCCTTCAAGGAATCGATTCAGCATTGTGAGATACGTCGTGGTTACCTAGTAACATGGTTGATTGAGAATTAGCAACCGCGTATTTGTTGTAAGTCTCACCTCTTGTAAGTGACTTCCTGGCAATGACTCCTGATCCTTTATAGTCTTGAATTGCTAAGAGACTCGAGAACTTTGACAGCAGTCACTAAAAGTCTGAAACCAACGTAAGCAGCCTATCGATGAAATGTGACCATGGTTTCTGAGAACCAGATAAGTCTGCTCAAATTGCTTAGGGTCACATATTGAAGTGGGTGAAGCATGCGCTAGTATGATCTCCTTAGTCCTTACGGTATTCGACATTGACACCTTTTGGGATTAGCTAGCCAGACCTCACATGCTCCTTCCATTTTGCTCTTATCCCTTGCCTTTCTCAATCCTGAAGTTCAAATGCTGCATAAAGTTTTACCATCCAAGGCAGCTAGCTCACCACTCTTTGAGTTGCCAAACTTTCCAAACCACTGACACGGTCCAAGCAAGGTATGTCATTTTCATGGTACAGCTTTAGTTAACGGAGATACATAAACTAAGCAATATAGAACCAAGCACCATGTTTTCGCCCAAGAAAAACATCGACGCAAATCGCTGCACGAACTATTCACTGACCTAGATATTCCCCACACTCAGTCACCGCCTACGAGTCCCACGAAGCGCAAGATGATGCGACAAGACCTTCGATCGACCATCCACAAGGGCTGGCCTATCAGAACCTCCATGGATAAATCTCAGGTCATGTCAATGGTCATCCGAGCCGATGATATTTACCTCCAGTACGCGAAGGATCAAGATCCTCAGAAACTTTTTGACAAGGCGGCTACTTGGCTCTCTGTTATTCAAGATAAAGTTATGGATGAGGATAATACGGAGCGTGTCCTGAAAGAGACACACGATTCAATCATTCGCGCCATTTTTGGATCCAACATGATTGAACGAGCTGGTCTGGGTTGGGACATTACACTCCACCTATGCCAAAAGATCTTCTCTGGTGAAGATGTCGCCGAATTTCCTGAGCGGTCTCCTCAATACGAGAGTGAGCTCTTAGAGATGTACAGAAAGCAAGGCGATCTGAAAGACATGCCTGCGCAGTACATTCTAAGAGGCCGACGAGAGATCATCCAACATGCCCGCGCATTTCAATACATCATCCACAAGTTTGTTGTCGAACAGCAGGATCTTACCGAAGAGATGATCAAGGAAACACACCGCATTCTCACAAAGGGGATCCCAATAATCGAGGAGGGATTTGATGATATCGCACCGGAGAAATACGGTGGGATTTATCGCGATGTTCCCGTCGGAGCTGGTTCAACGATGTTCACTGTCCCTCAATTCATTCCTGGGAAGATGAACCAGCTGTGCGAAAACCTCAAGACAGAACTCCAGCTTGCCAAGTCATCTAACTCTATCGATCCTTTCTCAGTCGCCGCCAAATACTCTCTGGAATTTGTACAGATTCATCCTTTCCGGGATGGAAACGGCCGCACATGTCGCATGATTCTGAACGCCATTCTCTGTCGTTATGCAGGCATCATCGTTCCTATCGGAGAACAAGGAGAGGAGAGAAGCGAGTACATCAACATCAAAAAGCAAGCAAGCGAAACCATGGAAGGACATGGTCCTTATGCAGTTTTTGTTCTCTGCAGAGCTGTTACACGACTCCGAGAACTCAAGAAGAAGCTGACTGGGAAGGGTAAAACGGCCTGAGAAACATACATCGCCCTTTCATCAATCGAATCCTTAATCTTGACTGGTCTTGCAAAAGGCTAGACAGAATATGATCATGGCGGATGTTGCAAAGCCGGGTTTCTACAAAGGGCCTTAACGGATGCCATTTGGGTGGGGGTTGTTATGTGGACGTTGGATGACAGGACAGGTCTGATGAGATCTTCAACTCCTAGATTCCATATCGGAGAGGACGCAGGGGTTAAGGCTATGAAACTGGTGAATGCTGCGAACTATGCGGGCTGAAAGGAATAGGACGGACTTCTTCAATCAGAAACGGGACGTCAGCAGCATCTGGGAAGGGATCCTTGTTCCCGAAGTAAGGATTCGCATACGGACTTTGGCACTAAGAATTCAAGGTATCCATAGTTTACTCGATGAGTTATTAGAGAATGAAGCATAAGGTTTGGAACGGAGAGTTTCATCAATGCCCAATACCTGGTCATGACAATGTTTGTTGGTGAAGTTGGAGAGAGGGAGATGCGCAGAGAACCACACGAGGACAAGCAGCTGGCCCTGGAGCCACGAGGCACCTGGCACGACAGACAGGTCAGGGGTCGAGACAGAGAGAAGAAAAGCAAGAGAACCGATCCTATACAGTCGGCGATATGTTGCTATGCTAGCTTGCGAGGAAGAAACAGAACCCAACGCCCCTACTCCCAGTGTCTGACTAGATATGGTACACGCTAAAAGCCTAAGGAAGTCTGGAATTTAGTCGCTGCCGGAGCACATTGGCAGTCTAATCAAAGTAGCTCGGGCGAGCTCGTACCATTTCCATGCCCGTGAATTTGGGAACGCGACCGGGCGTCAGGCGCTTCACCTCGGTGACATGCTCCCTGCTAATCTGCTCAACAACGCGCTTCACGTCGCCCCAGGCTGCGACGTTTCCTATCTCGTTCGACAGCTCCTTAGGGTAGTCGTGCGCGCCAATGGGGTCTTCTGTTCCCAGGGGGAATAGCTTGGCCGGAAGGCGGGGGCTCGTCAGACACGAGCGGATATCCCACTCCATGGTCTGCATAAGAATGATCTCCTTGCAGGAGGTAAAGTGGTCAAGGATTAGGTCCATCTTGGAGGTGATGTCGGCCTTGCTCATGAATCTCGTGTGGGGGAACGCGACACGGACGATGCGCGACATGTCGAGATTGGTCCATGTGCGGGGCTCCTCGCGGACAAAGAGGATGTCCTCTGTATAGTTGAACCAGAGGCCCTTGTAAGCACCACCGAAGAGGCCGAATTCAAAGCCGCCGGCCTCGAGGAAGGCGCGGTTGGCCTCCTTGCAGGCGAGGCGAAGCTTGGGCGTCTTGTGAGCTGTGACGCTCATCTCGGCAAGGCCTGAGGCTTGCCGAATCGCGACGGCCGGGTTAGGACCGCCGTTGGGGTTCGGGGCGGTGGCGCGCAGAACACGAGAGAGGTGACCGTCGCCCATAGACAGGTCGAAGACGCGACCAGTAGGAAGAGCGAGCTTCCAAATCTTCATGCGGATCTCGACGGGAAAGTTCCTGAACTGGGAGAACTTCGGGGTCTTGGGACGCAGGTGGCGAGACAACTTGGACTCTGGGAGGGCGACGCCGATGTAGGACGAGAAGGCGGCCTTGATGGTGTCTCGCTCATCTGCTTGGGCGATGTTAGTACTCGGGCGATGGTCGATGGTCTTTTGGAACGTGACAAGGACGCATGCACTGGTAACGGCATGAGGCGGCCTTACTCTCGATCTGCTTAAGCTTTTCTTTGAGCTCGCTATTCTCCTGAATAACGGAGTCCAGACGGGTCTGGAGAGCCGACGTGGACTGAGGCGGGGCGTTGGCCACCTCGGCGGCGATGGCGGCGCGGACGTAACCCTGTATTGAGTGCATCAGGGCGCTGGTGGCCGCGGCCAGCGGATCGGCTGGTGAGCTGTCCGCCATGGTGGCCTCCATGGGATGGCCTGTATGAGGATGAGCAAACAGGACATTGATAAGATTGGGAGCGGATGAGATATGTACCGGGGCGGTGAGATAGAAATGGGACGTAATAGTATAAGATGTTCTGCCACGGGCATTTGATTGCGTGGGCGATGCCGAAGGCGCTTTGGTGATGAAGATGCTGAGGTGCCAAGGCCAAGCGAAAACAGGCTATAGCCCGTCAACGAGAGCTACAGGACCGACGTGTGCGGCTAGGTTACCTAGGCAAGACCTACCTAGGCAAGAAGTACGAGATGATCCAAAAAGCGATCGGGCGTGGGTGATGGGACCGTCTGCCTGCCCACCTGTAGTCGCGCGACGGGAATTGGACGTTCCACCGTCTGGGCTGACAAAGGCAGAAGGCGAGAGGTGAAGTCAAAATTGGGAGGTGAAGGTAGGAGAGATGTCACAGAGCCGGCGCCACCACCTCAGGGTTGGGAAGCAATGAAGGCAGATGGACGGAGACGGACGGACGGGCAGAGAGCGCTGTGTGTGGTGCTGTCAATTGGTTCGGTAAGTTGGAGGAAGGAACGGTGTTTCGTTCGCCCCTTCCTCGTTGTTCTGACCGACCCCCCCAAGCGGCAAGTACCCCGCAGGTACCCAAGGTTTTATCCGTACGTGTCATCCTTCCGACAATGTAAAGTCGATATTTCCGAATGTAGGTACCTGAGGTAGCTGGGTACCCACCTTCCCTGAGCTTGGCGAGCAAACAGGCTCTAGGAGCCCCTGCCAGGTGCAGCCGGAGCAAGGGCCGTCAGCCAAGGGTACGGTACACACGAGGTGGTGGAGTCAGTGGATGGCCGGGAGCGATCCATGGCAGCGCACAGACCCTTGGTTCGGGCGGTTTTCTTCCCATCAACTGAGGCAGACGAGGACTGACTTTGTTACCTAAGGTACATGGGTACATAGGTACTTTGGAAGGCAGGTAGATAGGTAGGTAGATGAAGTAATCGTACATTTATCAAGGCGCCTATTTATAAGGGACCTCTCCGTTGGGAAGCCACGCCCAAGAAGGAAGCACGCGGTGTGAGAATAAGGTAGACAACCCACCTATATATGTCCAAGGAGCCCTCAAGAGCCAAGCACGGCGCCCAAGTAGGAGGCAAACGCCGAACGACTAGGCATGTGCGTGCATTGGATCCTAGCAGCCCAAGTGGCGCATAGCCACTTTGAGAGACAAGCCCACTGACCGGCGTCCGGGGTGGTGGATCAAAAGAAACCGACAACCTCACGCCAGCCGTCGCTTATCTGCTTCCCGTACTCCGTACTCCGTTCCTATCTCACTTCATCTACGGATGCATTTTTTCCCACTTTACGCACGTTGCTAACCGGTCACGCTGTGCTCGATGAAACATGGCATGCGAGTGTCCGCACGTCCTCACACCCACTGAGGATGCCAGACCGGTGGCCGTTGATGAATACACTGACAAACGGAGCCGAGACAGACGCTCGACCAATACGAGCTGTTATGAAGGTGACACAACCGTTGCTGGATAAAACGCCCGTAGAGGAAACACACTAATACCCCTGCTTGATTTTCCCTCTTCTTCAAGAAGGCTGCTTTCAGGGGACTCCACGCGCTGTCGGATGACCTTTGGGGCCGAGATCTTGTCCAATTCTGACGGATTGCTCGAGTTCGGCAGAACGTGCTTTATACTTGTTTGAGCCGACAGACATAGCGGTCGCCGGAACATGATCATCATAGGCATGTTCCATATATTCATTTGCATGGGCCGTTATTGGCTTAAGCTTGTCGCCTTATTCAATGAACTCAAGCAACTCGTTCTCAGGTAACTTCTAGGTCCAAACATGGTTCTCATCCTCGGGCTGTCCCCTCCAGCACCAGTTAATGCGATCGAGGGCGATCTCGTCGAGCTTAACATCAGCAACCTCTAACACTAGGCCGGTGTGGATCAATAATAGGAGACAGTAATAACTCGACAGGCTCATAACCTAGCTCCCCACTGTAGCGCTGCTTGTTCAGGCCGTAGACGTTCTCTAGAGCGTTTGGAACGAACAGTAGTGGTGGACTATCAATTATGGGACTCGACCAACGCGAACAAGGCTGGTCCAGAAGACCATTGAGGCCGTGAAAGTCTGTCACGATAGCTTCATACAGCACTTGTCAGGTGGATTATCATGCGTCATATCACGTGGTGCTTGACTCATTACTCGCATCACTTGCCTATATATAAGACCATTCCTTTACATCTTTACCTTCATAAGAATAAGCATTTCTTGATCCTATTCTTATATACCCTGCTGTGTGCTCTAACTCGTGATAAAGTCACTGCAATGGTGGTTTCCCGCTTGAAAATCTGACGGTTTCGAGGGGCTTTGAATAGGAAGAATGCCAAAAGGCGTGATAAGCTTACATGGAACCCATCTTCAGGATTGCTGGAACCCCGAGTCAAGAATCAACTAAAAGTTTTAAAAAGGACGAAATATCTCTTACTATATAATGAAGCTCTCCCCGAATAATTGACAGCTAAGAATGGGCCCCAGAAGGACGATACGATTCGGGGGCGTGGGATCCTCGCAAAGCCCTTTGTTGAAGTCGAGATTTCAAGGATGACCGTCGCCGTTTCTCGGCCGAAATTCAAGGTTGATGAGGCCATCAGATGCTGTGGTAGGATTCAGAGCCACCACTGCCCTTTGCAAAAGAAACAGATTGTCACGTAACGTTGTTTCGAAGAGGTGACATACTCGACCAAGTCATGCGAAACACCCTTGTAGCGGGAGCGCGCCTTGGCTTTGATCAGCACGACACAAATGAAAGATGATATTGCAGTAAAGGATTCTGACAAGATCAAAGTGGTTACACTATGTTGTTCCTTCCTTTAACCTTATATCTGCGTCTTTGCGGGTTGAATAACAACTTAACAAAGACTTCCAGGTAGTCTGCTGGGCAGTGATAGACAAGCAAACCACCGGAGATGTTCCGGTCTTTGAGATAAGAAAGATAGTCACCAAAGGGTCGCTTCGTATCTATTGTCTCGTTGTGTTGACCCAGCTGGCCGGAAGGCTTCCGATCGGGAAAGA